TTGGGTACAAATCACTTCTATTCTTTTTCTGAGCCAAAGAGGCAGGCAATATGGTTTTGTATCAATATTTATTCTCTACTCTATGCAAGAATGATTTTAATTTCAACTTTATTAAAAACGCCATATAACAGGCCTGTTAAGCAAATTAGAGCCTATGATATCCACTCTCCTTTCTGCTGTATTAATGTAATCTTTTTTGCTACATATTTGATTTCTGGGCAATATTAATTATGAAGTGGTAAAAAGAGAAGCACATCTCTGTTTATTTGTGGACTGAGCACCATTTCACTGTGCTGTAATTAAACCATTTTAATACTGCAAATAAAATCTGTAATGTAGAAAGATGTGTGTGTGTGCTTGTTTGCCTGTTTGAGCTGCAGTTAAATATCCATAAATCCCAAAACCTAGAATGCTTCCTAAAGAAAGTCCAGTTACCTACACCTGAAGCTTTTAGAAAGATAGGTTAAATAGTCAAGTTGTTTGTAGACTGCAATACTATCTCCAGTCACTAGGTGGCCAACTTTCCTAATCACTACATAGATTTGCAATCAATACAATTTAACATTAATGGATAAGAAAGAAGTTAAAGCATTGCCTATTCCCCACTGCTGTAAAGAAGGGATGGTAGTAGGTCTTGGTATCTGGGAGGGTGTCTTCAAGAAATAGATAGTAGGCGGTTTGCAAGAATTCTTGCAGAGGTTAGAAGAGAGATAACTTGATAGTTTCCGCATTCTGTTCTTTCTACTTTTTGAAAAGGATTACGATGGCATCTTTTAAGTCTGCTAGGAACGGTGGATATGATCTTCACTGCACAACAGCTCCAAGAAAAATGCAGGGAACAAAACCAACCTCTGTGCATGGCATTCATACACCTTGCAAAGGCTTTCAACACAGTGAATCTCAGTGCTCTCTGGACCATCCTCCAAAAATTCAGCTATCCTGACAAATCTGTTAACATCCTGCAGCTCCTCCATGGTGAAATGATGGCAACAGTTTTGAACAGCAATGGCTCCCAAACTGACCCATTTAAGGTGGAATCAGGTGTCAAACAGGGATGTGTTATTGCCCCAACCTTATTCTCCATCTTATCGCTATGATACTGCACCTTGTTGATGCGAAGCTTTCCACCGGCATGGAAATCAATCATCTATTGAACAGATGGCAAGCTATTTAACCTCAGCAGACTGAAAGCCAAAAACAAGGTCACAACATCTGTTATAGAACTCCAATATGCTGATGATAATGTAGTTTGTGCACATTCAGAAGAAAACCTATAAGCCACTCTAAATGCCTTAGCAGAAACATACAAAAAGCTGTTGGTCATGGGTATGTAAGAGGGGTTGCCAAAGACCATGAGAAAGCACAGTATTTTCTGTTGGTCACGGGGATTCTGTGTTTGGAAGTTTGGTGGGATTCAGAAGGCTCTTTGATTGTTGGTGAAATATAAATCCCAGTAACCACAACTCCCAAATGTCAGGGTCTACTTCCCCCAAACACCATCTGTGTTCATATGGAATATTCGTGCCAAGTTTGGTCAAGATCCATCATTGCTTGAGTCCACAGTGCTCTCTGGATATAGGTGAACTACAACTCCCAAATTCAAGGTCAATGCCCACCAAACCCTTCTAGTGTTTTCTGTTCATCGTGGGTGTCCTGTCTGCCACGTTTGGTTCAATTCCATCACTGGTGGAGTTCAGAATGCTCTTTGGTTGTAGGCGTTCTGTCGCTGCTGGACCTGAAATGAAGTGCCTTTAAGAGAGGATGTATGGCTTGGATCCAGTGGTAAGCCAGGGCCCCCGAAAAGAAGCCTTTAGAGAAATTTCCCTTATTAAACAATCTTTATAAGGCTTGAGCTTAAATATAACAGTCTTTTATTGATGAACAAACAGGAATTGTAATACTTTCCTAACAATCTCTTGGCTCTTGCAATCTTGTTCACAGGGAACAGGCACTATCTTCAAAAACCTTGTTTAAATGAAAATTCCCCTTTCTAGCTCCTCCCAGGCTGCTGTGAACCTAAACCTTATTGATGTGGATTCACTACCGGGCTGAACTGCGTCTCAACGACGAGGGAACCTATCAAAAGGCTGCTTTGATGGTTAGAGCTGTTATTCCCTCCAGAATTCCTCAGGGCTGTAAGGCTGTTTCCCCGGAACCTTTGGGAATCTTCAGAGGCTCTCAAGACTGTTCTCCCCCGGAAAGTCTTAAGGGATGAAGCCTTTGTACAGGAGGACGTCTGTATACATCCTCAGCATTGACTTCCTTTTCTGAGACTAACTGGAAAATGGCCCCTTCCCTCCAAAAAAAACAGAGACGGGCGGGACCAGGGATCCTAACTATATTACTGACAAGTGGCTTGCCCTATAAATGCAGCCAAAGGAGACATGCCGCATTATCACAGGGTGTCTGCGCTCTACACCACTGGAGAAATTACACTGCTTAGCCAGTATTGCACCACCTGACATCCGCCGGGAAGTTGCAGCCAATAGTGAAAGGACCAAGGCAGAGACATCTCCAGCTCATCCCTTGTTTGGGTATCAGCCAGCACGTCAACGACTTAAATCAAGAAATAGTTTTCTAAGATCTACAGAGACACTCGCTGGAACACCTCAGCAAGCGAGAGTTCAAAAGTGGCAGGCTCAAACCCAGAACCTCAACCAATGGCTGATACCAAATGAGAGACTCCCCCTGGGCACACAGAAGACTGGGCGACTTGGAAGGCGCTGAACAGACTGCGCTCTGGCACCACGAGACACAGAGCCAATCTTAAGAAATGGGGCTACAAAGTTGAATCCACGACATGTGAGTGTGGAGAAGAGCAAACCACTAACCACCTGCTGCAATGCAACCTGAGCCCTGCCACATGCACAATGGAGGACCTCCTTGCGGCAACACTAGAGGCACTCCAAGTGGCCAGATACTGGTCAAAGGACATTTAATCAGCTACCAAGTTTGCAAAATTTGTGTGTTTTTTTATCTGTTTGTTTGTTTTGTTCTGTTAGAAATGTACAATGTTCTGGTTGCGGATGACACGATAAATAAAATAAATAGCCAAAGGAGTCACCTATCTGCAAAGTCCCTGCAACTTAGGACTATGAACAAACACTCAGTGCAAAACACAAAATTGGAGCCCCTGGAACAGCCGTTCCAGAACAGTAGGTGAACTATAAATCACAGTAACTACAACTCCCAAATGACCAAATCATTTTTTTTTTTTTGAGTGATGGTCACTCCTTGGGTTAGTAGGTGTAGTGTCCAAATTTGGTTTTTGAGTTATGTTAATCCCACAAACGAAAATTACATTTATGTTTATGTTTGCGTGTGTGTATACATGTATACAGGGGCGGCTCGTCCATTACGTGAAGTAAGCGGTCGCAGAACACTTTTTTTTTTTGCCAGGAGCGCAGAGGCGCCTCTGTAAATACCCCTCGACTGCCACTTGAGGAGCGCCCCCTCAGCTCACAACAGCCCTAGCAGTCCGGGGGGAGCCTCGGCTTTCTTGCCTCACTGCCGGGCGATCCTCTTCCCAAAGGGGCCGGGTCCTTGAGCCTCGCCTAGCCCCTCTCGTTCCTGCTCCACCTGGCCACCGGGTGCGCGAGCAGAGCCGGCGCTCAATCGTTCTCCGTGTTCAATCCCTTCCCCATGACCGGCTCCCTTTCCTGATCCCCCGGCACTCTCCTCTCCCCAATCCGGGGGTGGGCTGAGGGGCGGAGCCGCTGCGCCTGGCCCACTTCGGGTTTGGAGGCGTGTCTGAAGACCCCAGCGTGCGCACCAAAAGTCACCTCTTCTCCTGACTTTCTCTTCAGCCATTGGGACCAAGAGAGAGAGAGACCCTCTGGCTGGAGGTATCTCCCACCTCCGCTCCCTCCTTTGTTTTTGCGCCTACCTTCAGGAAAGGTGGGCATCTCCACCTCTCTCTCTCTCTTATTATTATTATTATTATTATTATTAAACTTTATTTGTACCCTGCTAGCATCTCCCGAAGGACTCAATGCGGCTTACGAAGGCCAAGGCCTCAACACACAATACAACAATACAAATCATAAAGCAAATTAAAAACAATTAAGCCAACTAAACAACAAGTAATAAACAATGCACTAGAACACAATAAAACTGGGCCGGGCCAGAGTAATGGGTACAAGAGTTAAAAAGTGCTGGTGTGACAGGTGGACTAAAGGCTAATAGGGTAGGGGCAGTGTGCAGTGTGCGGCATTCTTAATTTAATAAAGTGCTTATGGGACTTGATATTGGAGGTTTCCTATTCTGGGAAGGCACATCGGAACAGCCAGGTCTTCAAGTTCTTTCTGAAGACTGCCAATGCAGGGGCCTGTCTAAGATCTTTTGGGAGGGTGTTCCAGAGTCGGGGGGCCACCACGGAAAAGGCCCTGTCTCATGTCCCCACCAACCGCGCTTGCGACGCAGGTGGGATCACGAGCAGGACCTCTCCAGATGAGCGAAGAGAGCGCGTGGGTTCGTAGACGGAGATGCCTATGGCTGAGGAGAAAGTCAGGAGAAGAGGCGAGTTTTGGTGCACACGCCGGAGTCTTCAGGCACGCCTCCAGACCCAAAGCAGGCCAGGCAAGGGAGCAAGTGCAGCAAGTGTAGTTACTGGGATGTATAGTTCACCTACAATCAAAGAACATTTTGAACTCCACCAATGATGGAATTGAACCAAATACGGCACACAGAACTCCCACAGCAAACAGAAAATATATATCAATGATTGGTTGGGGCGGGGGGGGGGGGGAATACTGTTTGCTTACTGTTGAAAATTACCTAGGGCCACCTCTGCATGTATATGTATGTGTGTGTGTGTGTGTATATGTATATGTATATATATATATATATATATATATGTATGAGAAAGATAAAGGTAAGCTAAGAAGATTGTAAGGACACTCCTTCTTCATTCGCTGCTGACATGGTTAATAAATCCACGAGGGCCCATGGCTTCCTTCCTCCTTCTTTCCCTCCCTCCTTGGCTGGCAGAGAGGGAAGAGGCGGGGATGGAAGAGGCCCACTTCCCAGCATGGCGGGCGGGCTGGAGCAGCTGGAGCTGGGGCAGCTCCGCCAGCCTCCCTCCTCGCCCTCGCCCTCGCCGCTCTCCTCCTGCTCGAGGCAGGCCTGGAGCCGCGACAACCCGGGCTTCGAGGCCGAGGCGGAGGAGGGGAAGCCGGCGGCGGGCAAAGGGCCGGTGCTGCAAATGGACCCCAGCGACGCCTTGCCCTCGCAGCCGCCTCAGGAGAGCGGAGAGGCCGCAGAGAGCCCGCTGCCTTCCTCTCCTTCGCCTTCTCCTCCGCCTCCGCGCCGCCTGGCCTGGGCCAAAGGATGGGCCAGGCGCCTCAGGGGTGAGTCTCGCCTGCCTCCTGCATCCTCCTTCGCTTACGTCATCTCTGGCTTGGGGACTTCATTTCCCAGAATCCCCGGCCCTTAGGCAACCTAGGTGAGGCTTCTGGGAGTTGGAGGCCAAGCGCATCTTGTGTTTCTCAAACTTCTAAAGCAGGCCTGGACCAACTCAGGCCTACTCTTGTTGGACTCCATTTCCCAGAATTCCCAGCTATAGGCCAAGATGAGCAAGCATTCTGGGAACTGTAGTGCAGAACACTTTAGAAGGCCAAAGAGTGTTTCCCAAACTCTGGCCTTCCAAAGTATTTTGGACTTAGTATCCTAGAGTTGGAAGAGACCTCATGGGCCATCCAGTCCAACCCCCTGCCAAGAAGCAGGGATATTGCATTCAAATCACCCCTGACAGATGGCCATCCAGCCTCTGTTTAAAAACCTCCATAGAAGGAGCCTCCACCACACTCGGAGGCAGAGAGTTCCACTGCTGAAGGGCTCTCACAGTCAGGAAGTTCTTCCTCATATTTAGATGGGTCCAACCCCCTGCCAAGAAGCTGGAATATTGCATTCAAAGCACCCCTGACAGATGGCCATCTAGCCTCTGTTTAAAAACCTCCATAGAAGGAGCCTCCACCGCACTCCGGGGCAGAGAGTTCCACTGCTGAACGGCTCTCACAGTCAGGAAGTTCTTCCTCATGTTTAGATGGGTCCAACCCCCTGCCAAGAAGCAGGAATATTGCATTCAAATCCCCCCTGACAGATGGCCATCTAGCCTCTGTTTAAAAACCTCCATAGAAGGAGCCTCCACCACACTCCAGGGCAGAGAGTTCCACTGCTGAACGGCTCTCACAGTAAGGAAGTTCTTCCTCGTGTTCAGATGGAATCTCCTCTCATGTAGTTTGAAGCCATTGTTCCGCATCTTAGTCTCCAAGGAAGCAGAAAACAAGCTTGCTCCCTCCTCCCTGTGGCTTCCTCTCACATATTTATACATGGCTATCATATCTCCTCTCAGCCTTCTCTTCTTCAGGCTGAACATGGCCAGCTCCTTAAGCCGCTCCTCATAGGGCTTGTTCTCCAGACCCTAGATCATTTTAGTCGCCCTCCTCTGGACACATTACAGCTTGTCAACATCTCTCTTGAATTGTGGTGCCCAGAATTGGACAAAATATTCCAGGTGTGGTTTAACCAAGGCGGAATAGAGGGGTAGCATTACTTCCCTAGATCTAGACACTATGCTCCTATTGATGGCTCATGTTCATTTCCCAAAATCCCTGCTCATTGGCCAATTCTGGAAGATGAAATCCAAAACAACTTAGATGCCTAGAGTTTGGGAAACACAGCTTAACTAGGATGTTTCAGTCTAAAGTGTGTCTGACCAAACATCAGCCCTCCAGGTGTTTTGGACTACATTTCCCAGAATTCCTGCTCATTAGCCAAGTCTGGGAGATGAAGTCCAAAACACCTTAGAGGCCTAGAGTTTGGGAAACACAGCTTAACTGGGATGTTTCAGTCTAAAGCGGGTCTGGGCAAACTTCAGCCATCCAGGTGTTTTGGACTACATTTCTCAAAATCCCTGCTCATTGGCCAAGGCAGGCAAAACTGGGTTGTTGTAGGTTTTTCAGGCTGTATGGCCATGTTCTAGCAGCATTCTCTCCTGACGTTTCACCTGCATCTATAGCAGGCATCCTCAGAGGTTGTGAAGTCTGGCAAAACTTCTGGGAGATTAAGTCTAACGAAACACCTATAGTATTGTCGAAGGCTTTCATGGCTGGAATCACTGGGTCGTTGTAAGTTTTTTTCAGGCTATATGTCCATGTTCTAGAGGCATTCTCTCCTGACGTTTCGCCTGCATCTATGGCAAGCATCCTCACTACCTCTGAGGATGCTTGCCATAGATGCAGGTGAAACGTCAGGAGCGAATGCCTCTAGAACATGGCCATATAGCCCAAAAAAACCCAAAACACCTATAGGTCTAGAGACTTTGGAAAATGCAGCTCAATGAGGCTAAAGCATGCCTGAGCAAACTTTGGCCCTCCAGGTGTTTTGGACTACAATTCCCACAATTCCTAACAGCCAGTAGACCAAGACAGATAAAGCTTCTGGGAGATGTAGTCCAACAAAGCACCTGGAGGCCTAGAGTTTGGGAAACGCAGCTTAACTCGAATGGCTCAATGAATCTAAAGCAGATCTGGGCAAACTTTGGCCCTCTGGGTGTTTTGGACTTCAACTTCCACAATTCCTAACAGCCGGTAGGCTGTTAGGAATTGTGGGAGTTGAAGTCCAAAACACCCAGAGGGCCAAAGTTTGCCCAGGCCTGTCTATTAAGACTGACAAAATCCTGCAGAAAATATTAGGACTGTGTGTGCTCTCCATGTTCCCTGCCAAGGTTTGCAGATTCCAGCTCACTAAGCGCATTTCAAGCTTCCTGTTGCCTAGCGAACCAGCCTTTGCTCAGTTGTTCCACTCCGGGATAACCATGTATGTACACATTCCAGAAGTGTAGCCATCTTAACCCAGATTGTAATTCGATGTATTCGATTCTCAGTACAAGTGTTTGCAAACATTTTATTTCACGTCTCACTCATATTTTTCATATTCGCTTTATTAATATATTATTTATTTTAGTGTGTATTAGATTTTACAGAGCAGGAGGTTGTTTCTCAGGCATTTAGGGACTAAAATTTTACATTAAGGAAACAAGAAAGCAGGGAGAAGTTGAAATAGAAATGAAGAAAGCTTTTGTTTTTCAGGATGCATTCCACCATGGCATGGGAGTTCATACAGCTATTTTTTTACCATTCATAAAAAAACTAGTATTTAATTGCTTTTTTAAAGTTTCTCTGAAGAGGGAATATACTCAACCTCTTTGCTGGCTTTCTTTCCTTCTTTCTCTCTCTTGTTGGACAATTATAGCATTTACCTCTCACTTTGCATCTAGTGGTTTGATAAACCAAATAATATTTCTGGCAAAACCTTGGTGCCAGCACAAAGGTATAAAAATTACAGCAACACTTTTAGTTTGATTGCATGTGTGTGTGTGTGTGTTTTCAATTTTCCATTTGGTGCTACTACATTTTGTTTTAACTCTGCAAGGTTAAAATTAATCCAGTATTTAAATGAATCCAGAATATTTATCAAAGATTCACAGTATTGTTAGGTGAAGTGTCCATTCTCTTAACATTATTAATATGATATTATATATTTACATTACTTACAATATAATATATTATAATTCTATATTTACATTACTTGTAGTATTACTAATAATATTACGATATAGTGGTATGGTGCAATATAGCAATGTTTAATGCTGATATTGTACTATGCTAATAATATATTATATTGTATGTAATATATACCTTGTAAGTCGCTCTGAGTCCCCTTCGGGGTGAGAAGGGCGGCATATAAATGTTGTAAATAAATAAATAAATAAATAATAAACATGCAGCAAAATAAAAAAAGAGAGAGAAGTGTCCATTCAAATACTTGGCCAGCCATTTGTTGTTGTTTTTTTAAAATTTGCCATCAGGTCAACTTTAACTCTTCCAAAAACACAGGTCATCTGCTGCCCAGTAGAGTTGTGTGCAGAATTCGTTCCTACAGTTTATGCTATTTTTTCATGTCTTCCGTTTCTTTGGAACCACAAAACGGGAAGCCCCCTCCCCACATGAAAATATATCCGTCACGAAAGCCTACTTTCATGTGCATCCGAACTTGCCTCCTTGCCTTGGAAAGGGAGCGCGTGTTTGGTGGGGCATCTAGGCAAGCAGACCCAGAGCTCGGCTGCAGGCGTGCTCTGTGTCTGCCTGCATGCCCTGCCACATATGCAGGCTCTGAGAGGATGGTGGGGTGTGCGGGCAGGTCCGGAAAGCAGGTGCATGCTTTTTCCAGACCTGCCTGCATGCCCCGCTATGCACAAACAATCTTTCCAAGGAGAGAGTGTGTGTGGCGTGGCGTGGCATGTAGGCAGGCCTGGAAAGCGTGCGCACCTGCCAGTTCCTACAGCCAAGCGCCTCTTATTATAGAGTAGAAACAGCAGGTTGCCAGGTAAAAACACACGCTGGAAAGGGGAGCCAGTGGATGGGAAGCCCTTCTCAAAAAATGGTCTGATTTTTGGGGCCCCAAAAGAACCAAAAACAACCCTCCCTATTTCGGGAGGCTCACAAAAAATGAATCGCCCCCCCCCCCCCCCCCCCCCCCCAACAAAAGCAAGAACACTAAACAGGGCAAGTTTTACTCCAAATGCATATGTCTACTACCCAGCTCATTTCTTGTTCACTGTTGTGGTTTTCTTGATTGAATTGATCCACCTATAAAACTATCTCTCTTTTCCTCTTTCATTCTACTTTACAAAGCATTATTGCCTTTTCCAGTGAGCCATAACTTTTCACGACGCATACAAAGTGAAACAGACTCTGTTAATTTATTTTGGTTTCATGTCTTTAAAATGTATGTAAATCTGTTTTTATATAATGCAGAAGCCTTCACATTTTTTCCATTGGCAAGGCTCCTGACCCTTTGGCTAGCAGTACAACCTATAAGGAGGGAATTAATGTAACAGGTTATCAGTTAAGTCTTAATAATGGCAACAATTTGTTTGGTTTGTTTGAGAACAACTCAGTATAGTAATATCTTGCTGTTTGTTTTCTGTACCTGTTTCTGATGCTGCTTTGTGAAGGTCTGTGGGGTACAAGATTAATGGAAGAAACCACAACCAGAGAGAAATACCTGAAAAGTGTTTTGCGAGAATTAATCACGTATTTGATGTTTCTCCTGGTCCTCTCTATCTGTAAGTACTCATTTTGATGGTAACTACTATATTTATCAAGTAATCAAATTTAGTGTATGTGTGTTTTAACAGGGTTGCTTTTTCCAGGCTGGTTTTAGATTGGCGCTATTATTCATATATAATAATTATACAACTTTCCAGATGCATTATGGCTATGCATTGATTACAAATCTCACTTTTGCAAATATCCAGATTGTATTTAATTCTTTATTGTCTGGTAAGAAAATAAACCTTCAACAAATGCATATTCATTGCCTCACCAGTGGAAATTGACAAGTTGAAGCCAGTACTGTTAAGAGTTCCCTTTTCTACTTTTTGGAGCACAACATGAGTGCTCATGCCATAATATTTCTTCTTAGAGAGGTCTAGAGCAAAGTTTATTACTGCTAGAGACTATAAACATTAACTACATGGTTAACTGATTAACTGAATTTGAGCTTGGAAGCAATGCTTCAGTGAAATTTTGTTGTACAATTCTAACATTCTTTCCCAAATACTGAGGGAATGCAAGCACCCTTTTCAAATTGCCATAGCAAGTTGTTCTTAAATATTTGGTTTAGTGAATATAATATCATAATCCTCAACCAGCAATTTGAAGTCGATCTGAGATGGAGTAAATAAGCAACAGCAGTACCTCTGCTTATTAAAGACTGGAGAAGGAGAGAGAGAAAGAAGTACTAGAAATAAATATGTTGAGTGTTGAGATGAATGATGGATCTGAAAACAATGAACATTCTTAAATGTTATAGCAAATAAACAATTGGAATCTTAGAATCATTGAGTTGGAAGGTAGCCCAATGAAGGAACTCCAGGAAAAGCATCTTCAGAAGTAGCTGTAATCCTCTTTTTAAAGACTTCTAGGGAAAGGGCTCCAGTCATGTCTTTAGGTAATTTGTTCCATTATCAAACCTCATCTTGAGTTCTTTCTAATTTCAATTGAAATCTACTCTCTTGAAACTTAAAGCCATAAAAGAATACGCCTGCATCCTCTTCTCTTGGGCAATCCTTGGTGTGTTCCAGTTGTTCTTGAATGCAACTCCAATAAGCCCCAGATAATATACCGAATTACTAGATACTTCAGGATCTGGACTCCCTGGCATCTAAAAATTGCCTGCCTTGCCTTTGATGTTGTGATGGTGCAAGTGATACTGTGATATCTGAAGAAGAGTGGTTAAGCACAGAAAATGTGTGCCATGGGCCCTGAAACTGGCAATAATAAATGACAAAATGTGGGTTGGAGGCCATTCTCTCTGGATCAATTAATCATCGGCCCCAGCCCCTTCATTGAGTCTAGATATATCTTGCGTTGTTCTATGAATTTCTGCAGTCAGTTATTAGAATGGCTCTTGTATTATCTCAGGGCCCTTCCAGACTGGCCCTATATTCCAGGATCTGATACTAGTTTTTTTGCTTTAAATTGGATTATATGAGTCCCCTCTGCCAGATAATCTGGGCTAAACAGAAAACCTAGGATCCGATCCTGGGATGTAGGGCCTGTCTGGAAGGGCCCTCAGACATAAATATATTATTCAATGACTGTATGTTGTATATAGGCTCTTGGATGTTTTGTGTTTGAAATGCTATTTATCTCCAAACTTCATATTTCCAGTGTCTTATGGGATGGTGAGTTCTAATATGTACTACTACACAAAGACAATGTCACAGCTCTTTCTAGACACACCTGTATCAAAAATGGAGAAGATCAACTTCAAAACTTTGTCCTCAATGGAAGACTTCTGGAAGGTATAGATTGGAACTTGATCTTTGAGCATTGCTATATTAAAGTGATATGCATATTATGTGAATAATGTACATTATCATTGTCTATCATAATTTTGAAAAGATTGATATTGTTTGACAGAGCTTACTGTAAGCTCCCAAAGAAACCAGAAGTCAGGTACCACGAGGTCACCTGCTTTGTATGTTTCCCAGTCTGGTATCACATTGATGTTGGAGAAAATAATAAATGTACTTCTTGTCCAATGTACCAACACTTCTCTTCTGTATTAGCCGAGGTGTAATTCTAATCATATCATATGCAGTGTAGTCCAGAGGATGGGCCGGAGATGTAATTGCCTTGGCCTTTCACTATAGGCTGCTACTTCCTGACAGATGTCAGGTGGTTCAATACCAGCTAAGCAGTATAATTTATTCAGTGGTGTAGGACATAGACATCCTGTGATAATGCGGCATGTCTTATTAAGAGCCACGTCCACTATTTCAACTTGGTGAGATGTATTCCAGACTGGGCATGCATATTCAGCAGCAGAATAGCAAAGATTAAGGACAAATGTCTTTACTGTGTCTGGATGTGATTCCCAGGTTGTGCCAGTCATTTTTCGTATATTTTTTCTAGCACCCACTTTTTGCTTGATATTCAAGCAGTGCTTCTTATAAGTCAGAGCATGGGCCAGGGTAACTCCCAAATATCTTGGTGTGCTGCTCCAGTGGGATTCCGTCCCAGATAATCCTCAGAACTCAAGATGCTTACCTGTTCTAAGGTGGAAAGCACAGGTCTGTGTTTTAAATGGATTAGGAATCAAATGTAATAGGCAGTACGAGCACCTAAAGCTACAGAGAGCTTCTGTTCAACCATTTCAAAGCTCCCTGCTGGAGCAGTCATGGCACGATCGTCAGCATAGATGAAATACTCTAATTTAAGAGTTAAATTGAAATTAATCCATTGTTGAAACAAAAATTATTGCCTTCTTTCAAGACATGCAAAATTTTAACAATGGTTAGCTTTCTGTTTCAGTTTGCTGAGGGTCCTTTGCTTGATGGATTGTATTGGGACATATGGTACAACAATAAAACAGTGACAGAGAATAGAAGTTTCATCTACCATGAGAATCTGCTTTTGGGAGTCCCTCGGATGCGGCAGCTGAAAGTGAGAAATGGCTCATGTTTAATACCTGAAGATTTACAGGATGAAATCAAAGACTGTTACAGTGTTTACTCTGTGGGTAATGAGGACACTGCTCCATTTGGGCTTCGCAATGGAACTGCGTATGTATTTTTCCTACATGAATATATACAGAGGCATGTCTTCTTGTTCTGACAAATATTTAATCAGGTTTTTATGCCTAGCACACTAAATGCTTTCTTATTGTCTTTTATGAAGCACTTAATTTTGTTTAATATCTGTGAACCACTGATTTATTTATACTTTCCAAATCATCATCATCATCATCACTTTATTTCTTAATTAGTCGCTCTCCACCAAGGTGCTCCGAGCGACTTACAATTTAAAACAGTTTATACACAATATAAAACATTCAATATAAAAACATTCAACATAAAAACGTTCAACATAAAACATTCAACATAAAAACATTCAGCAGTGACTATGGCAAAATTTGATCCGGTTACTTAAATGCACAGCCAAACAGCCAAGTCTTGAGCGCCTTTGCAAAAGGTCACAACTCCGATATTGCTCTAATATATGGAGGCAATGAGTTCCACAGAATTGGAGCATTGATCGAAAAAGCTCTACGCCTAGTAGCTTCCAAATGTGCCTCCCTAGGACCCGGTATGTAGAGGAGATTTTCCTGGGTGGATCGAGGTGACCACAGATGGGGAAAAGGAATGAGGCAGTCCCTAAGATATAAAGGTCCTTGGCCATTTTGAGCTCTAAATGTCAGAATCAGTATCTTGTAAGAGATCCAATGTTCTATTGGTAGCCAATGCAGTTGTTGCAGAATCGGTGTAATATGGGATCTTATAGATGATCCCACTAGCAGCCTGGCTGCCGCATTTTGGACCATTCAAATCTTCTGGGTCGTTGACTTCGGAAGGCCAGCATATAAGGCATTGCAATAATCCAACCTCGTGGTGACTGTTGCGTGGATTACTTTTGCCAATGCTTCTACCGAAAGGTAGGATGCCAATTTCCTTGCCTGGCAAAGATGAAAAAAGGCCTCTTTACTTATGGCAGTGATCTGGGTCTCCATCGTCAGCGATGAGTCCAACACAACCCCAAGGCTTTTAACAGTGGCAGATGGAACCAGAGCTTCCCCATCGAAATCAGGCAGAGACTGGGTTAATTCTGGCGGCTGGCCAGGCCAGAGTATCTCAGTTTTTGCAGGATTGACTTTTAGTCTGCTTGCTCGTAGCCAACTCATCACTGCTTCCAAACACAGCTTAAAGTTCTCAGGAATCGCAGTTGTTCCAGGTTCGAGACGCAAGAGTAGCTGGGTATCATCTGCATACTGGTAGCACTCTATGCCAAAGCTCCGCACCAGTCCAGCAAGTTATTGAATAACTCACTTGTCCATATTTGTCTGTACTCTACTGATGAAGAGTTAAAGAGCTGGAAGAATTTCTTATATTTTCCTAAACTGATGCCATAATTTAGACCAGTTAAACTTTGTTTAGGCAATCAAGGCCATAGCTATAATGGATCACTTCATGTTGCATTTCAGTTGGACGTACACCAGTGAAAAAGATCTCAAAGGGAGCAGCCATTGGGGGCTCATTGCAACATACAGTGGAGGTGGCTATTACCAGGATCTTTCTAAAAGCAGAGAAAAGACTTCTGACTTGATTGCTGGCCTTAAGAACAACTTGTGGCTTGACAGGGGCACGAGGGCAACATTTATTGATTTTTCTGTATACAATGCCAATATCAATCTCTTCTGTATTGTCAGGTAAGTCTGGATTATTATTATTTTTAAAATGACACTGCATTATTTGTCTGCTGTAAAAATACAAAACATTTACAGTTCATCCATCGATCCCACCAGTCACCAGAAGATAGGGTTGAGCAGGTTAAGACGTTACATTGTTTTGTATTTGAACACAAAAGTGCAGTTTTTAACTCTGGAAAGTTTTTGAGTCATAGTGTTTATATTCCTGTAGCTTTTTTATAGGCAGAGACATACATTTGAATTGTGTGCAAAGGAAGAACCATAGACTTGATTATCTCTCATTTAATATACAATGGGGATTGGCTGTATCTCTGATTAGGATCAAGTACCAGGCTCATTGTCCACCTAAGCAGTTCAAAAATAGCTGTGAGTGGTGAGTAGAGAAATTAGGCAGGGAGGTATTTTACAGCACCATAAAAAGCAAATACCTTAAAATGCCTGCAATCAAAGGATGGAGGAAGTCTGTGATGAAGACTTCCTCCTTCCTTCCAGGACGCTGAAGTTGGGAAAAATGCCGACATATACCTCTATCTGTTGTCTGTCCTGTCTGTTTAACGGCATTGAATGTTTGCCGTGTGTGATCCGCTCTGAGTACCCTTCAGGGTGAGATGGGCAGAATATAAATACTGTAAATAAATAAATAATAAATACATGGGGTGATACTTGCAAATTTCTCAGTCTAATTTCTTAGCCTAATTTACAATATGAGAGGAATGTCTATGTGCTTATATATTGTTGGCGTGACTCTAATGCCTACTGGAAAAAACAGTCTTTTCAAGTTAGTTTATAAAATAATTATGAATTCTGTAGATGTTCTTGTTTAAAACTTCTAAATGGACTGCAGGCATATTTCCACAGCATCAAGTCGCAAATGCTGTTAATTTTTCTACATATTAAATTAATACTCTGTCAGTTAAAAAGCATTTTCAGTGTGAATCCCACTAATAGAAACAATAACAATGACAATGAAATAAGAATTTTTGTGAAATAATAAGAGGAGTTATATTCATGTATTTTCAAATGCAGGTTATTGGTGGAGTTCCCACCAACAGGAGGTCTCCTTACGTCTTGGCAATTCCAGCCAGTGAAGCTGATACACTACATCTCTACCTTTGACTTCTTCTTAGCTGCCTGTGAAATAATTTTTTGCTTTTTTATTATTTATTACGTGGTAGAAGAAATCCTAGAAATTCACATTCACAGACTATTCTATTTCAGAAGTCTTTGGAATTGTCTTGATGTTCTCATTATTCTGGTGAGTGAAATAAATATAAGTCTTTAAATATCAACACTATTGTCTTTTCAAACTCATGAAGGTTATAGTTCGGGTCCATAGTAGATGTCTCTGTGGAGTTGCCATTGAATAAGGACTTGTCTTTCATTACCACCATTGCTGCAACTTTGAGTTATGAGAGCTCTCTGAAATTATAATGTCTTTCTGTTTAAGCTAATTAGTTGCAGGTTACTTAGTTCTTCTAGTTAATGAGGGGAAAGAAGTACTGTTTGCAATAGATCAGCTAGACACACAACTGGAGAAGAACGCTAGGTTCACTGCTGTGCTGTGCTCACCTGGATACCTTTGTATCCCAAATAACCCCTTGATGCACTATGTGTTGACTTGGTATCAAATGAGAAATAAAGTCAAGATAGGCAGATGTTAGCTAACAGAACTATGCCAAATTCTTATTCGGGGAAGCTGAAAGACTATGTTATTTACCTACTTTTTTCTACATTCAGCTATCAGTCGCAGCTATCGGAATTAATATATATCAATCATCTGCCGTGGATAGGATGCTGAAAGAGCTGCTGGAAAATCAAAATAGCTTCCCAAATTTTGAGCCTTTATCATACTGGCAAACACAGTTCAACAGTATTGCAGCCATCACCATGTTTTTTGTCTGGATGAAGGTAATTAAAACACTTTTTTGTGATATTTCAAACAAACAAGGTCACATTATGGACACATTCTGTTTTAAGTTCTTTTTGAGAAGTTGTGTTTGACTTAGACTTACATTGCTGGGATTTGAACCCTGGTCTCTTGAACATGATTCATTGCTCAAACCAATGCCCCATACTGTAAAGCCACTGTTTAATTCTTCAGCAGACTGGGTTAGCTTTAGGTCTGAACTAACAATCCAAGTTTTGGCCCATTGTATTGCCTTAGAGCAGTGTTTCTCAACATTCCAAATGCTGCGACCCCTTAATACAATTCCTCGGGTTGTGGTGACCCCCAACCATAAAATTATTTTTGTTGCTACATCATAACTGTAATTTTGCAATGGCCACGAATCTTAATGTAAATATCTGATATGCAGGATGTATTTTCATTCACTCGACCAAATTTGGCACAAATACCTCATATATCCAAATTTGAATACTGGTGGGGTTGTGGGGGGGGGGGGGACTGATATTGTCATTTGGGAGTTGTAGTTGCTGGGATTTATAGTTAATCTACAATCAAAGAGCATTCTGAGCTCCACCAATGATGGGATTGAGCCAAACACACCTACATCCAGAGAGCACTGTGGGCTCAAACAATGATGGCTCTGGACCAAACTTCGCACGGATAATCAATATGCCCAGATGTGAACACTGGTGGAGTTTGGGGAAAATATACCTTGATATTTGGGAGTTGTAGTTGCTGGGATTAATAGTTCACCTACAATCAAAGAGCATTCTGAACCCCACCAATAATAGAATTGGACCAAACGTCCCACACAAAACTCCCATGCCTTGAAGTGACTCGCTGGCAAGAGCCTCCCTCCAACCTCACTTGCTCTCCCTCACCCTGCACATGCACACCACACTGCCATGCGTTGAGCATGCCTCCTCTCCCCTCCCCACTTATTATTTATTTATTTATTTACAGCTTTTATATTCCGCCCTTCTCACCCCACAGGGGACTCAGGGCGGATTACAGTGTACACATATATGGCAAACATTCAATGCCAATTTTGACATACAACATATACAGACATAGACAGAGGCTAATTTAACTTTTTCTGGCCGCCAGGGGAGCTGTCGCTTTCATCGCCCATCTGCGACACTGATGAAGTACTTCCGCATTCCCCGCATGCTTTTGCTGGAGTCTTTTTTTTATGGCCTCATAAATTAGTTAATTTAGCCTCCCCACACTTTAAGGTGGTACCTTATTTTCCTACTTGACAGATGCAACTGTCTTTCAGGTTGCAAAGGTCGACAACAGGCTACACAATTGGTTGGAAACCCACTCCAACCCGAGCTGGCTTCAAACTCATGACCTTTTGGTCAGAGTGATCTTAATGCAGCTGACACTCAGCCAGCTGCGCCACAATCCCGGTGCTCAGAATCTCAGAAACAACCCTCCTCTTGGCTTAGAGGCCAGCAATTACAGTGGATGAGGGCTTTTGGTGGGGGGATTCACCATCTGTTTTCAAAAAGGAAGGGAAGGACAGGCAAAGAGATCTTCAGCCTCCTCTGCCAAAGAGGTTCCTAAGACCATCAGAAATATATGTTTTCCGATTGTCCTCTGAAACCCAGTCACGACCCCCACAGGGATCCTGACCCCCAGGTTGAGAAATGCTGCCTTAGAGGCATTTGTTTTGAAGATTATCTAAACAATATCATAGGAGGCAGAAAAAGAATAAAAAATCATACTAATCACCTTCATCTTTTGAAATGGGTTCAGTTCATGATGTGCTTACATAATAAAATACATTAGTTTGTAATGTCTTCCAACACTCTTATGTTCATTTTAAATTTCTGAGCTACAAATAATGGTTAACGCAAACCACAGCCTGCTGTTATGTTTGGATCACTCTATTGAATTATTCAATATTCCAGCTCTTTCAAGAGCACATTACAATTCATTGTAATTAACAACTTAATTCTTTTTAAGCTATGGATATCTTCTCTTGCTGAATTACCTGGTTATTTAAATATTTTTATTGTCAACAGCTTTTTAAATTCATCAACTTCAACCGGACAATGAGCCAGTTATCTTCCACAATGTCGCGATGTGCCAAAGATATCCTTGGTTTTGCTATTATGTTTTTCATCATTTTTTTAGCCTATGCACAGCTAGCCTACCTAGTATTTGGCACACAAGTTGATGACTTCAGTACCTTCCCAGATAGTATGTAAGTAAAATCAAATGTCTTTGAAGCTGCTATTGAAGTGCCCTGCCTCTTTTTCAGATACAGAAATTTGCATCTGACTTCAATTTCTATCAATTTTAATGACGTTCTTTTTGTCATGTTCCAGAATTCTAGCTTTAAATAAATTCCTCTGAGGAAACTTGGTCATCCAAAATCAACTGTGTGTTGTATTGTGATGTAATATATCTACAGTGTGTTGTGATGTCTGTTGGAAACAAGGCAAGTGTGGTGTATGTATCTGTGGAATAATGTCCAGGGTGGAAGAAAGAACTCTTGTATGGTTGAGGCAAGTGTGAATGTTGCAATTGGCCACCTTGATTAGCATTTAATGGCCTTGCAGCTTCAAAGCCTGGCTGCTTCCTTCCTGGGGGAATCCTTTGTTGGGAGGTGTTAGCTGGTCCTGATTGTTTCTTGTCTGGAATTCCTGTTTTCTGAGTGTTGTGCTTTGTTAACTGTCCTGATTTTAGAGTGTTTCAATACTTGTAGCCAGAATTTGTTCATTTTCATGGTTTCCTCCTTTCTATTGAAATTGTCCACATGCTTGTGGACATGGTGGTTGTTAGAGTGGTCCATTGCCTCTTCTCTTCAGAATCTAAATTTTGACTTGATTGATGCAAACATTAGGACCAATGACTTTGCGCTGATAAAATATAATGAAAGATTAAATACCATTGTTAGAAATTCAATGTTAATTCTTTAATGCTGATTAATGTATTGGCTAAAATTATGTTGTCCTCTTTAAAGCTTTACACAGTTCCGCATCCTGTTGGGAGATTTTGACTTTACAGAGGTTGAAGAGACTAACAGAATTTTGGGACCAGTTTATTTCACTACATTTGTATTCTTTATGTTCTTCATTCTTTTGGTATGTAAATACTTTATCTCTAGAAATACTGTATGTCACCATCCGTTCAACCTGAATTTCATTTTCATGTATTGTCTTCTTTGTGCCAGGACCTAATAACAGATTTATTTTATGTATTTTATGTATTCAAAGGACCAATCTAAAGAGGTCTGTTTTCTCAGCATTGTAGGAAACTCAATGTTAATATATGTTTTGCTATTTCCAAGAGCAGCTGGCTAATAGTAATCCGAGTAAACTGATCAATGCTTTTGATATGTGTCGAAAAGGGGATCAGAGTCATAAACAGGATGATCCTCAAGCTGCCTTTTAAATTCCCTCTGCATTAAACATATGTATTACTCTGAAGGTGCTTACTGGTATTAACATGCATTTTATTTAAGGCGTGTGAAATACCTTTTGACAGGACCAAGGAAAGTTGTCTTGGATCCAGAGTTCAAATTACTCTTCATACATTAAGATCTTCTGCCTCTGATTTGGGAAAACCTTGGCCTCAATGCTGTTGTTATTTTTAGTAACAACAGACCTATTTAATCATTACATTGAGCTACATCCGCATTCACCATACAACACTTAGTTCAATTGGTCTGCTGTAGTGGGAACTAACCAATAAGATTTTAGCCCTTGAGTTTGTTGATGGTGATGTTGATGCTGATGCTGGTGATGTTGATGTTGTTCCTTCATAAACTACAAGAAAGTTGAAATTTACATAGGCCAAGGCTTCAAAACACAACACAACAATACAACACCTAAAGCAAATTAAGAACAGTTAAGCAGTATAAACAACAAGCAATAAACAATACATCATGACACTATAAAACTGGACCAGTAACTGCTGCATTTCCCAACCTTGGCTTATACTAGAGTTAATACGTTTTCCCAGTTTTTTGTGGTAAAATTAGGTGCTTCAGCTTATATTTGGGTTGGCTTATCCTCTAGTATATACGTTAATGAAGTAAAAGATATTGGTGTCATAATGCTATTTTAAAAAATGTTTGTCTTAAACAGAACATGTTTTTGGCTATCATCAATGATACATACTCAGAGGTCAAGTCGGATATGGCACAACAGAAGTCTGAAATGGAACTGTCAGATCTTATTAAAAAGGTAAGAATGTATCAATTATTCATGTTGTCCCAACATATCTATAGTTACTTACTCGCTTTCTGTGGGGCGTCCACAAATTTACATGGAAGAAAACTACTCCCATTTTCTGTTGCCTTATGTTTTGATAGGAAGCTATTTGTGAGTGGTTGCTTTGATTTGTTTTTTTAGCATAAAAAATGCTAAAATGGTGAAAAATGCTCTATAATGGTGAAAAGCTGTGATTTCTGTATCATAACATTCTGCAAAAAGCACAGTCATAGCACATTGTACAACCTGTATTGTGGGAGATAGAACTATGCAGTTATTTGAAACCCCATCTGAAGAAGTGTCATTGCATATTTTTGACAGATAGATGAAGAACAGCTTATTTTCCTTAACCAAACATGAAGAATAAATTCAGTTACCATTCTCAATGCACCAAATGCCCCACGCTTATATGATCTTGGACTTGTGGACCAATTAGACGTGGTCAAATAGTATTGGCTTAAATAACTTTGACTAGATACAGAACTTCCTGGTCTTTGTGTTTCAGGAATACACTAAAGCCATGGTGAAATTAAAATTGAAGAAAACACCAGTTGATGACATTTCAGAGAGTTTACGACAAAGTGGAGGCAAATTAAACTTCGATGAACTACGGCAAAACCTTAAGGGGTAAGTCTGAACAAAATCCTTTTTTATTTCAACTTGCTTCAAATGTTATTCGAGGCAGAAGATCTTGGCAATTGACAATAAAAGCAGTAAAAATTACAATATTTGGGAATATGGCAAATGAAGGTGCTGTTTGTCATATAGACTGACATTTCTGTTTGCGCATCCTAACCTTTTTCTTAAAGGTAGTTTTTGTCAGAAATATAAAAAATTAACTAGGCATTTTTTAATTACAAAAATGTGAGTCAAGCACTGTAAGGGTTTAATGGATGCAATAACCCAGCAAAAGCTGTAGTTCTATATAAGCAGGTGTGCTTGTAGTTTAGTAGGCCTCAGTGTTAGTTTGCCTCAGTGTGAAAGAGGCGTCAGTCTTAGAGAGCCCTCTGTGTGAGGTAGGCCTCAGTGGGAGAAAGGCCTCAGTCTGTGAGATGTCTCTGTGGGAGAAAGGCCTCAGTGTGAGGTAGGCCTCAGTGTTAGTAGGCCTCAGTTTGAGAAGGCCTGGTGTGAGAAGCTTCGGCGAGAGAAGCCCCAGGTTAAAGGCCATTGTGTGTGAAGATCCATTGTGAAAGCTGCTGTGTGTAAAGCTATAGTGTAAAGCTCCTGTGTGAGAGGAAACTCTGTGAGAGCAAAGCTGTTTATCTGCATGAGAAAGAAGCCCAGCGTGGAAGTAAAGAAGGAAGTATAAAGAACTTTATTTGTGTTATGGAAACCTTGTTGTAAATAGTGCAGCCATATTATTTTGCTCTAAAGAAAAGCATCCTAAGAAAGATATAACATTGGTCTTTATCACTTTGGACTACTGGTGATGGGTCACACTGCTTCTGATAAGTTATTCTGCTATACATTCATTGGGAGGGTCTTTTGTTAATAAGCCCACTTGCCCAACGGTTATTTTTAAACATATTTTTCAGTCCCAATTTTTTAAAATCTTGTTGCATTAGTCAGTACCATCAAAGATTCATGGAACTGACTGAAGTGTATCAGATTTTATTTTCTAAACAATATTTTTACAACAAATCTTAAGGGGAAAATGATAGTTCATTCATCTAACTCTGCATCTTATTGTAAGCTTTTGTGGCAACTTTAAAAGTAATTAGGTGAGAAACTAGAGAGATTTGCTATCTTATCTTTGTAGAAAAGGACATACTGATGCTGAAATTGAAGCTATCTTTACAAAGTATGACCAAGATGGTGATCAGGAATTGACTGAGCTGGAGCATCAACAGATGAGAGATGATTTGGAGAAAGAGCGAGTGAGTCAATAGACTTCATTGAAAGTCTTTTTTTTTTTTTTACTAAATTCTCTTATCATTGAGAAGTCATTACAGCAGTAGGATCTCTAAAATTTATTAGATCCAGATGTATAATTTTTGCTTTTCTAAAAAAGTGACTTTGTCTGAATTGTATTGGGTTTGGGTTGAAAGACAGGGCAGATATGGTGTGTTTGGGGTGTAATGTCAGTGTTAAATAGCATTGGATGTTTTCACCAAGGAGGACTTGGATCTAGACAGAAGCTCTCTGAACCGTCCACTGAGTGGCCGTAGTTTTCCACGAAGCCTTGATGACTCTGAAGAGGATGATGACGATGACAGCGGGCATAGCTCAAGGAGGAGAGGCAGCAGCTCAAGTGGAGTGTCATATGAAGAGTTTCAAGTGTAAGTGAGGTTTTAAGTGTTGTATTACTGATTTTTGAAAATACTTCAGGAAAACACTTTTGAATACTAGTCTGTCCAGCACAATGTAATATGATCTCCACATCCAGGTACCTGAAACAATATATAAGGGGTTGTGGGTTTTTGTTTTGTTTTTTTCGCGTCAGGAGCGACCGCTCCTGTTGTGATGGCACAATGGGCTGTGGTGGCACAATGGGTCAATGCCTTTGTTCTGCTGAACTGCTGATCTGAGGGTTGGCAGTTCGAATTTGTGGGATGAGGTGAGCTCCCATTATTAGCCCTAGCTCCTGCCAACCTAGCAGTTCGAAAACATGCAAATGTGAGTAGATAAATAGGTACCACTTTGGCAGGAAAGGTATAAAACGCTCCAAGCAGTCATGCCAATCACATGACCAGGAGGTGACAATGCAGGTTCCTCGACTTGGAAATGGAGATCAGCACCTCCACCAGAGCCAGAGATGAGCACTGCCTCCAAAACCAGAAATGAAAGGAGAAGCTTTGTTTACATTTGTGTGTCTCATTGTATTGTAACAAGACATTGAATGTTTGCCATTACCTGTTTACACTATAATCCACTTGAGTCCCCACTCTTTCAGTTGATAAAATTTGTTGCAAAGTTGCTTTATTACAACTCGTTGAAGTTCATTACATTGCTGAAGGAACGGTTCAGTATCTCCAAGATGACTCCAAGTATTGTTGGATTGCTCCTTGAAACAAGGACGTAAAATTTATCTAAATGTGTGAAAATTTGAGGAAAATATTTAGAGGATGTTTTCAATTGGGAACAAGCATTTGGCCCAGCATAATTACCTGTGCAATACAGTTGGAATTGACCCTGGATTGATGAATATGATTTTTTGATTATCTGGCTTTGGATTTATGCACAATAGTATAATGTTTGCATATGTTGTTTAATGTTGTTTTAAATTGTTGTTTAATTGCTTTTAATTGTTGTTGTTGGGGTATGGAATAATAATTCATATAAGCCACCCTGAATCCCCTTCGGGGTGAGAAGGGCGGGATATAAATGTCGTAAATAAATAAATACATAAATAAGATTTTCATTCATGGGCAATTCCTGGTTGCAGAGATACTGTGATTTCAATTTGGGCCCATCTTTTTGAAGCACACTGTATTTTGCCTCTGCTGGAGTTGGAAAAATCAATTGAATTGCACTAGAAAGACCCACGGATATTTCTGATCTGTGGGAAAAAATAAGCCACTAACAGTGATTCACACTAACATGTGATTGGTTCCTAGATTGGTTCGACGCGTGGATCGCATGGAACATTCCATAGGCAGCATTGTTTCAAAGGTCGATGCTGTCATTATGAAGTTGGAAATTATGGAGAAAGCAAAACTCAAGAGGAAGGAGGTCTTAGGAAGACTGTTGGATGGGGTCACAGAGGTAAATCTGCTTCTAGAAAAATATCAGTTGTACTGTGCAGTGATATTTTTGTAGCCTTTTCTAAAGCTGAAAGTGTTAGGGGAAACTGTCCTAAAATATAGCAGAGCATCCAAAAACAAACAGGATACAAAAGTTGAGCATTCAGCAGAGCGTGAAGTGCTGTGTGATGACTGTAAAGAATTCAGAGCTTAGGAAGCAAACATGCAGAGTCCAATCTTTAAAAAATCACAAAAGGCTTATTTACAATAATAACGAATTACATTTCTTCATGGTAAAGAACTGGGTCTGAGCTACTCTAACACTCATCTCTTCTAATGTTTCAAAGAGAGAGAAAAAAACAATCACTACATCTCTCCTTACACACAAGCAGAGAGAGATCTCAAAGCACACAGCACATACCCTCCATACTAAAGTGTAAGAAGGCAGAAGTCCGATTCAAAAAGCTTGCAGTAGAAAAATATCAATTTTAAACAGCCAATCAGAATAAGAGTAGAAACAGAGGAAGGAAGAGATAGATACATTCCCAACTGTCATACAAGAGATATGGGGGAAGAGAAACCCTTAGTCTATACTAACTAAACTGTTCCTCATTGAGGACTTGAGACTTGGGCAGTGTGGAATTGAATTCCAACAGAAAGAGTAGCAGGTTCCAATTTATTCTGCTACAGTAGTGTTTTTCTAAAGGTTCTGGCAATCTCTTCATGATCTGTTATGGTATTTTCTACTTAGGATGAAAGGTTGGGCCGTGAAAATGAGGTCCACAGAGATCAGATGGAGAGACTTGTGCGAGAAGAACTGGAGCGCTGGGAATCAGACGATGCCGCCTCCCAAGTGAGCCACCGCTTGGGGACCCCAGTGGGGCTCAATGGCCAAAGCCGGGCAAGGAGCTCCCGTCCCTCTTCCTCCCAGTCCACAGAAGGCGCCGAGGGTGGCGGGGCTGGGAACGGCGGGAGCAACGTAAATGTCTAGGGGCATTTTTCTTGTAATTTCAAAAACTCCCTCATTTAGTGACCTACGTAAATGAAACAGTGCTGTATCTTACCTACACAGCTGGGTAGAGTCAATAAGCAGAGAAGCAGCTTGGCTATTCTGGTTAAATAGAACAAGACACTTATATGAAATATTCCTACCTGTGTTTTGAGGACCAGGTGCAGCTAAACTCCATTCCAGCCATTTACACTGAAATGGCATCCATTTTTCAAGTTAGCAGGAAATAAAGGGCCAAACCAGGGAGGCTAATTATAGACTAAAGTTTTACTCTATAATTACTTAACAGACCTACCTGAGAATAAGCTCCATGGAATGCAGTGGGACTTACCTTTCAGTAAAAATGTACTTCAGATACAAATTAAGTGCAAATTGAATATGCCTTATCTGAAATTTTCAAGACTAGAACTGCTTTGGATTCTCTCTCCCCCCCCCCCCCCCGTAATAATTATATGTATATGTGTTGTTCATTTATTCAGTCGCTTCCGACTCTTCGTGACCTCATGTATATGTGTACATTATGTGATGTCTTGGAGATGGGACCAAGTCTCAATATGAAAATCATGTTTCGTATACACTTTATGGGCAATCATTTGTGGCCAAGTATTATTGTCTTCCAAAGACAATGTCTTGATGGTGGTTCCATAAGTGACTGTAGAGACCTATTCTGGATCTGCGTAGTCTTTCACAATGAGGACATAGATTTGCAGATGGAAGGCAGTCAAGGGTTTGTTTGACGTGCCTTCTTCCTCTTCGCAAGTTTCTCCCTTTCACCCTCTATTTGTGTTTCTTCAGAATCCACAGCAGTCTTGGTAATAGCTGAAGTAATAACAATGATTACTTTTTCTGTTATAGAGCCTAATCCTATTTGTTTATTCAAAAGTTAATACCTCTGATCACAGTGGAGCTTACTAACTATTATGGAAAAGGTATCTTTGATCTTTTCAGCTTAGAGATCCAACAGTTTTAGACTTTGAATTTATATTAAGAATTTATATTAAGATCTTTTGTCCATGTGATGGAAGGTTCTTTTTTGTAGTGTGTGGTGGCATTTTGCTTGACTGGCAAAATGAAGTAGTCACTCATAAAATCAGTTACTTTGCCATGACTGTTTGGTATACCAGTGTTACTTACTTACTTAGGCAATCCCTCATTGTCTGAGTAGGATAATCCTCCAAGGTGGGTCCGTAGGTGACTATGGAGCCCTATTCTTGATCTGCATTGTCTCCCGCAGTGAGGGCATTGGTTTCCAGGTGGAAAGCGGTCCCGGTCAGGGTTGGCTTGACGCACCTTCTTCTTGGCACATTTCTCTCTTTCACCCTCGATTTGTGCCTCTTCAAATTCTGCAGCATTGCTGGTCACAGCTGACCACCAGCTGGAGCGCTCACGGGCCAGGGCTTCCCAGTTCTCAGTGTCTATGCCAGAGATTTTAAGGTTGGCTTTGAGCCCATCTTTAAATCTCCTTTCCTGCCCATTTTCCAGTGTTAAGGAATGACTAACACTAGATATTTTGGAAACGAAGATCAGAGATAGAAAGACTGTTCAATGTAGAACCCAATCACTTTGGACCAGTCACCCACATCCATACTACCTCTATGGATTCTTGAGTTCCCTAGAGAAAATGTAGAACACATACTCAGTATTTTAACTCATTTCTCTGGGAACAACAGTTGTACTGTTACACTTTTCTTCAAGCTTCTCCTCATAGGGCTTGTTCTCCAGACCATTAATCACTTTAGTCGCCCTTCTCTGGACACATTCGAGCTTGTCAAGGGAGGTGTTGACAAGCTGGAATGTGTCCAGAGTAGGGCAACTAAAATGATCAAGGGTCTGGAGAACAAGTCCTATGAGAAGCAGCTTATACAGCTGGTCATGTTTAGCCTGTAGAAGAGAAGGCTGAGAGGAGGCACAATGAGGGCCATGTATAAAGATGTGAGGGGAAGTCATAGGAAGAAGGGAGTAGGCTTGTTTTCTGCTGTCCTGTAGACTAGGATGTGGAACAATGGCTTCAAACTACAGGAAAGGAGATTCCACCTGAACATTAGGAAGAACTTCCTAACTGTGAGAGCTGTTCAGCAGTGGAACTCTCTGCCTCTTTGAAGGCTTTTAAGAAGAGGTTGGATGGCCATCTGTTGGGGGTGCTTTGAATGCAATTCTCCTGCTTCTTGGCAGGGAGTTGGACTGGATGGCCCACAAGGTCTCTTCCTATGATTCTATGATTGTAGGATCTCCCATAGGAGAAAGGTTCTGTAAAAAGTCACCTACAGTATTTTATGATTTTTATGGAATCAAGAAGAGTCATGTCTTTCTTTGATTAGGGTTGTTTCTGTTCAAGGGGAAAACAATTAAACATAAAGAGTTAAAAAATCCTGCTTCCCCAGAGAATGACAAATTCTCGGAAAAGAGAACATTGACTTTACTGAATGGTTAAATAGCAATTGCCAACACTATATGGCTAATGTTAGATATGACACAACAATCAAAAGTTTAGTTGGTATTATGGTGACCATGGAGATGTAGGTTTAATAGTTAATCAATAAACATGGTGCTTCTCTTAAAAAGTATGAAAATGAATGTGATTTTTGTGGGCATGTCCCATTGCTTGTATTCTGGGAGCTAAACCCATTATGTTGGCCACTTTTGACTCTCGTGGCAAAGGAAAATAAGCACATTTATTTTGTGCAGCAGTGCCAAAGGTATTTCAGGGAGAAGTTTTGTGCCTTTCTCCGCCATTTCCTGAACTCATATCAGTGCCAAGCAGTTGAGCACGGCTTGAAATACGCATTGTAAAATGCTTTTTGGTCTTATTAGCAGCCACCAGAATGACTTTTGCAGTCTTTCTTTTGCAGTCTGTTATATGAAAACCAAAATGTTTGCTTTCATATATCGTATTCGTTTATATTTCTGTAACATGTTGTTACGTAATAACAAACTTCATTTTGAAGTGCAGTAAGATTTCATGGTTGTCCATGTGTGCTGACAATGTACATACGGTTAACGTATGACGGCTAAGACTGTACCTTTTTATTTCCCCATATGTAAGGATAGTAAATCCTTGCCTCATTGATTGTAGAATAATTGTCTTTATACCAAAAAATATGAATATCCTTGCTTTAGGAAGTAATTATACATGCCATTTATATTGGAAAAATGTACTGGACTAGTAGCAGTTGGCGTCTCATCTAATAAAGACATTATGTGATTTACCCAAGTTTGTGTATATCGAAATTTGTCTGGAGGATGTGGGTCATTTTGTATTGGCGTTATATAATTATAATTATAATAAACCTTTATTTATACCCTGCTACCATTTCCCGGAGGACTCGGTGCGGCTTACAAGAGGCCGAGCCCAAATACATCAATAAAAACAACACAGCAATACAGACAATAAATAAGTCATAAACAAAGCAATAAACAATAACAGTAACACCACGACGCATTAAAACCTATGGCAGGGCCAAATGTAGTAATTCAAATTTTAAAATACTGGGCATGACAAGGTGACATATAACTAGGATGGGTATTTGAAGAGAAGTGGAGCAAGCAGACAATCCTAGATCATTAGTAAAGTGTGATTAGGGACATATTGCTTAGGGTTCCTTATTCTGGGAAGGCACACTGGAACAACCACATTGTCAGGCTCCTCTTAAAGACTGTCAGAGTTGGGGCATGTCTAATGTCCATGGGGAGCGAGTTCCAGAGTTGAGGGGCCACCACCGAGAAGGCCTATCCCTCGTCCCCACCAATCGCGCTTGCGATGGAGGTGGGATTGTGAGCAGGGCCTCTTCAGATGAACGAAGAGATTGCGTGGGTTCGTACACAGAGATGCGGTCATGCAGGTAGGCAAGTCCTGAACCGTTTAGGGCTTTGTAGGTAAGCACCTGCACCTTGAATTGGGACCGGAAAATGAACGGCAGCCAATGGAGCTCCTTGTACAGGAGGGTTGACCTTTTGTTCTTAAACAAAAGCAAAAGGCTGCATACAAAATTGCAACTCAGGAAATGTGATTTACAGCATTTCTTTGTCCTTTACCTATGTATCAGCCTCAGCCAAATTTACACCCTTACTAGGAATACTAATGGTATGGGTAAAATGGTCATTGACTCATTTTTGAAGGTAATGAGAAAAATGTCATAGACATCAAATGTTTCTATTAATCCTACACAATCACAGATGACTGCTTACAATTGGATGACTATTCAGCTGAACCTTAGACTCGGCAGTGTTTGGTGTCACTGGGTCACAGTAGTTTTGCTCTATTGGATTATTATGGGGGTTAGAGTTATAATCTCTCTTTTTAATACTTCATCTGCCTTTATCATCATGTTTGGCTGCTTCTCAGTACAGATAAATAAATCCCTGCACACAGGGAACTAATATGTCAATGATTAAGTCTCAGGTTTTCCACCTTCTCTTTTGTTTGTGAAAACTAGGTCAAAACATGGCAGCCAGATTGGTTACCTAGAAATGACTATATTACACTAAAACCATTCTGTTGGCTGCCAAAGTATTGGGTATTACCTTCGAAATCCTACATGGTTTAGGTCCAGATTATTTGTAGATTGCCTCCTCCTTTACAATCCAGCACATACACTCAGGTCCTCTGGGAGACATTTACTTTCAAACTAGTCTGAATTACACAGAGGAATTTCTTTTGACCATCTCTGAACTGTTCAGTAACTTTCTGGGAGAGATTAGTTAGCTTGAGATGCTATCTGAATTCAAATCAGCAGTGAAGACCATTAAAGGTAAAGGTTGTCCTCTGACATTAAGTCCAGTCATGTCTGACTCTGTGGTGTGGTGCTCATCTCCATTTCTAAGCCGAAAAGCCGGCACTGTCCATAGATACCTCCAAGGTCATGTGGCCGGCATGACTGCATGAAGACCATTAGTGACGTGCATTTGGGTAAAAACTTGTCCCATTTCGTTTCCAGGCTTTCGTTGCGGGGCCCAATCCATTTTCAGTAAGCCTCCCGAAATTGGGGGTCACTGTGCTTCTCTTCCTCCTCCTCCCTCCCTCTCACCCGCAATGCCCCACATTCACTCATGGGAGTCATGGCCAGGCAGCCCAACATCCAGACCTCAGCAAGCATGCTTTATCAGAATGGAAGGACCCACCACCCCTCCCTCCTTTCCACTCAGAGTGTGTGGTGGGCAGCAGAGCGTGTATGTGTGGTGAGATGTGTGACTGCAGGCGCTCGACTACAGGCAGGCACTGACAGGTGCGTGCAAGCTTTCCAGGTCTGCCTGCACACCCCATGATACACGCACTCTTTCCCTGGAAAGAAAGTGTGTGTATGGCAGGGCACAGGCAGGCCTGGAAAGCGCACTCGTACCTGTCAATGCCTGCCTGCAGCTGAGTGCCTGTACGGTCATAAGTCTGGAAAGGAGGGAGGGGCGGTGGTTCCTTCCGTCCTGATGCTGAGGTCCAGATGTGGGGCTGCCTGGCTGTGACTCCTGTCAATGAATGTGGGGCATTGTGGGCATGAGGGAGGGAGGAAGAGAAAGAGAAGAAGTGCACACGCATGAAATTTCGGCTCCACACAAAAGCAGGTTTTTGTGTCGAGCTGAGTTTCATGTGGGGAGGGGGTTTCCTGATTCGTGCTTCCGAATAAATGGAAGACACGGAAGAAACACATTTTGAAATGTGTTTCTCACTACTCTGAGAATGTTTGCCATAGATGCAGGTGAAAAGTCAGGAGAGAATGCCTCTAGACCATGGCCATATAGCCCGAAAAACCTACAACAACCCATATATTTTGAAATTGTCTTTTGGCAGGCCTATCAAGATCAGTTTTTAATTGTGGCTTCTAAAATATCTATTGATAGATATTAATGTGGTTTTATTTGTGATTTTAACTGCTATATTTGTGTTATTGAGAGTACTTCTTTCTTTCTCCTATTAATACTGTTATTATTATCATTCAAAGATCAAAAGGGCATTGCTTACATTTTGGTTTTACGTGACTGATATTCTGTCTGTCTCTCTACACACACACACACACACACACACACACACACACACAGGGAGGGAGGTAGCCAGATTGGGATGAGTTTTTTTGCACTTCAATCTTTCAGCTCTGCCATTTGCAATTGGAAGAAATCGTCCATTGCCATCACTGGAATCTTTCCTCCCGCAGCAAATAAAGAGTTCTGTAGGAAACACGGATTAGGACCACGATGGAGCAAAGAATTCTTCTGATCAGCTTGTCCTTCTCCCCTGCATACATCTACACCAGGGATCCTCAGACTAAGGCCCAAGGGCCAGATACAGCCCTCAGAGATCATTTACCCGGCCCTCGCTCAGGGTCAACCTAAGTCTGAAACAACTTGAAAGCACAAAACAACAACAACAACAACAACAACAACAACAACAACAACAATCCTATCTCATCAGCCAAAAGCAGTCCCACACTTCCCATTGAAATACTAATAAGTTTATATTTGTTAAAATTGTTCCTTCATTTTAATTATTATATTGTTTTAAGTGATTTTGCAGTACAAATAAGATATGTGCAGTGTGCATAGGAATTCACTCATTCTTTTTTCAAAATTATAATCCAGCCCTCCAACAGTTTGAGGGACTGCGACCTGACCTTCTGTTTAAAAAGTTTGAGCACCCCTGATCTACACAAACACTTACCTCAATTAACAAAGCCTCTGACAAAGATGATACTTTTTACAGCCTTTTTGTGCCTTTTTTGCATTTGACTGGATTTTTTAGCAGCATCCGCATTAGGAGGAGAATGGTGAAACAGGACGGGAGAAACACAGACTTTTGGTGTCAGTTTACAGCAATGTGTTAGCAGTAAACTATAAAGCTTAAGCTAAGAATGAATGGGATTCATAAGACTGAAATAATTTGGAGGCACAAAACTAGTCTCCAGAATTTCTTACATGCATAAACAAAACACAGCAAAAAAAAACATGAGTGCAGGTAAGCTTACTTACCAGCTACGTATCTCCATCATGTTAAAATAAAAGCATAGATAGCTGCTAAAATGGTATTTGTAAGAAAAGTGGAGGGTGGTCAAAGAAATGCTCTTCTTTCTCATAGTGTAGTAACCTATTCTTTCCTTGCAAAGTCTGTCTCTGGTATCACACTTTCTATTGAAGAAGCCATGCCCAGGAACACATCTGCTCCAATAATGGTTAACAGATTCATACCTTCCATTACAAGTTCTATAAAATTCACTACAAGGGGACACAATTCAATCAGAATTTTTTTTAATGAATACCTTATCTTATAAATATTACACGTTTACTATAACAGTACATTGCCGTCTTGAGGAGGAATGTGCACTCTACTTATTTAAGTATACTTCTTTAGATATCTCAGTTTCAGGTATGCCACTGCCAGGAAGATCACGGTCATGACTGCAAGTGCAACATAATTCTGCAGCATTCCCCAATCACTGGCATCAATGCCTTGACTCGCCAGGTATTGTTCTCCAGTGCACCTAAGGAATGAAAACCAGCAGTCAATTTTTGTTAGAAATGCCCCATAAGCACACTATTATTATTATTTACTGTAAATCAAGATTCCTAGTGTAATTCTCAAAAGAATAATTAAGAGATAGAAGGCATGGGAGGTTAAAAGGCAAACAGTATAGAAGAATAGTGAAGAGTAGAGACATCAAGTGTCTGGAGAACAAGCCCTATGAGGAGCGGCTTAAGGAGCTGGGCATGTTTAGCTGAAGAAGAGAAGGCTAAGAGGAGATATGATAGCCATGTATAAATATGTGAGAGGAAGCCACAGGGAGGAGGGAGCAAGCTTTTTTTCTGCTTCCCTGGAGATTAGGATGCGGAACAATGGCTTCAAACTGAACATGAGGAAGAACTTCCTGACTGTGAGAGCCGTTCAGCAGTGGAACTCTCTGCCCCAGAGTGTGGTGGAGGCTCCTTCTTTGGAAGCTTTTAAACAGAGGCTGGATGGCCAGCTGTCAGGGGTGATTTGAATGCAATATTCCTGCTTCTTGGCAGGGGGTTGGACTGGATGGCCTCTTCCAACTCTTTGATTCTATGATTCTATGATTCTATCACATTGGCAACAAAGATCTGCATAGTAAAAGCAATGGTATTCCCTGTAGTCACCTATGGGTGTGAGAGCTGGGCCATAGGGAAGGCTGAGCAAAGGAAGATAGATGCTTTTGAACTGTGGTGTTGGAGGAAAGTTCTGAGAGTGCCTTGGACCGCGAGAAGATCCAACCAGTCCATACTTCAGGAAATAAAGCCTGACTGCTCACTGGAGGGAAGGATATTAGAGGCAAAGATGAAGTATTTGGCCACATAATGAGAAGACAGGAAAGCTTGGAGAAGACAATGATGCTGGGGAAAATGGAAGGAAAAAGGAAGAGGGGTCAACCAAGGGCAAGATGGATGGATGGCATCCTTGAAGTGACTGGCTTGACCTTGAAGAAGCTGGGGGTGATGACGGCCGACAGGGAGCTCTGGCGTGGGCTGGTTCATGAGGTCACGAAGAGTCGGAAGCGACTGAATGAATGAACAACATAGAAGAATATATACCTTTAAATCTCTGGAGAAAAAATGATAAGATCCAGTGAAGGTTTTGTCAGCCTATTCCATCCCATGATCACTCAGGATCTCTCATGGATAATGTAATAAACATTACATTTTTAGGTCATAGGTCCACACTCTTGTTACATCCCGAATAGATTACTGCAGTGCACTCTACGTGGGGTTACCTTTGAAGATTGCTAAGAAGCTCCTAGTAGTCTAACAGGTGGCAGCCAGATTAATCACCGGAGCAACGTACACGGAGCACACAACTCTGCTACGTTAGCTCCACTGGCTGCCAGTCTGCTACATTTCAAAGTGGCTTTAGCCTATAAAGCCCTGAATGGTTCCAACTCAGCTTACCTATCCAAACCTATCTCCTTCTATGAACCATCTTGGACATTAAGATTTGCTAGGGAGGCCCTGCTCTCAGTTCCACCTCCTTCGCAGGTACTACTGGTGGGAACAAAAGACAAGGCCTTCTCAGTGGTGGTCCTGCAGCTGTGGAACTCCTTAGTAAAATCAGCCCCTTCCCTCCTGACCTTCAGAAAAAAGCTGAAGACGTGATTGTGGGATCAAGCTTTCGGATAGCAATCTCCCAATGCAATAAGTGAATGTGGAATAGTACAATGACAATTGGAATGGCCTTTGACTATGGTATTAGATTACGTGATTTTAAAAAGTAGTTTTAATGTTTGATGTTTTTAGTGCTTGGTTTTAGTGCATTGTTTATTTTGTCTGATGTATAATTGTGTGGCATCAAATTGTGCCTTGTATGTAATCTGCTCTGAGTTCCCTTCGGGGTGAGAAGGACGGTTTATAAATGCCGCAAATAAAGAAATTACTGTATTTCAAACCACTGTCAAAATTATTTTAATCTAATAATGGCATCTTTTTTAAAGGGACAGGAGATCATGTAGATTGGATCTACTTTTTACATTTCTGTATTTGTTACACACTCTGGATCTGAATTGTAAGGAACCTCCTTACTTCTGCCAGTTTCAACGTCAGGGAACCAGTTTGTCTCCCCTATCTGCCCATAATGGCAAGAAGACATATTGAATACTCATTCACAGAAATAAAAAAGGAAGTCAAAACCTGAAATTGCCTTGAGCTAATGCCTTACAAAGCCGCTTTGGGTCTCCTTGTGGAGAGAAAAAGCAAGGCATAAATAAACATCATCATCATAAATACAAAGTCTAACATAAACGTCTTTCTCTTAAGTAATTTTTAGAAATAATTTGAGGGGAGTAACTATATGAATCTCTTGGTCTAAACTTTGTATACATAATTCTTGAAGAAACTATCCCATAGTACATTTTTTCAGTAACAGCAGCAAAAAGAGACCTTGGGGGAAAAAAATAGAATGAAAATGTCCCCACCCCAGTCCCCCCATATTTTTTCTAGGCTCTGTCATCTCTAAATTGGAGAACCTTTGTCTTGTTGCTATTTGTCCTTTTTCAATTAACTCAATCTATACATTCAAGTGGGCATATCTAAAGTGTACGCTACAATTCCCACAATCTCATGGCATTGAGCCGTGCCAATTAAAGTGATGTCAAGCTGCATTAATTCCACAATGTAGATGCACCCAGTGTCATAAAGAACAAGTAGAACATGCTCAGCTACTGCTTTTGTAAAAGGACAAAGTCAAGTATTCAAGATAATCTCATTCTGTCAATTATGATCATGGCAGATTACTGGATTTCGATATTAAGAAATTAATGTAAAATGTTGTTGATCAAGGGACTAGTACTAAAAGCTATATAGATGCAGAACCCATTCTTAGCTTAAGAGTGGGCAACAGTTTGTAATGTGATAAAAAATACTTACAGGTCATGCGAGACGTATGACGCATTGACTCCTGGCGGGAGATCCCTACAAAACTTGAGCCCAATAAATTCATTGACTTGCAGAGCCTTTGAAGACAAACAACTGAATTACTTTGTTATATTTTCTAATATGGATTTCCTTTCCTTTCTTCCTTTATTTTTTGGTGCACGATTCTTCGAGGCACTACAATACTGGTAGTGGATGGAATAAGCCCCTATTCCATCCCAGGCCCAAAAATTCATTAAATATATAGTCCTCAAATACCAAATTGATAAGAACAGATACTAAACTTGATCTTAGCCAAAAGGCAGAGAAGAGGACTTTCATTTGATGATATACAGAGGAGCAAAATTATAGCTGCTGTCCAATTATATTCAATGACAAACTACAAATTGTACTTCTCAGAGACACCCTTAGTCCAAAAGACTGGGACCACCAAGACTCGTTCACCTCTGTGTGCCAGAGGAGTGCAATGTGCAACAGTGAAGTGGTTGTTTTTATTGTATGCCACCAAGACATTTCCAACTTACAGCAATCCTGAATCAAAACTACCTTGGGATTTTCTTGGCTAAGTTTATTCAGAGGTTTACCACTGCATTCCTCTGAGATGGAAAGAAGGTGACCTGCTCAAGATTAACCAATAGGTCTTCATGGCCAAGTGGGCACAACTTGGCTATCATCTGTTGCTTGTTGTTAGGAATGTCACCAGAGTTACCTGGAGTGAACTAGTTGCCTCATCGCTCCAGCCACCATCACTCCAGGAAATGAGCCATGGACACTAGCTATGCCGTGCCTACTGGCCATCATTATGACAAGAATGGAAGGGGGACAGCAAGTGTCATCCAGGGTCCCTTGGGTTGCCAAGCATGGGGAAGACAGAATATGTAAATAATTGCATCCAGGTCTGTCTCAAAACCAGGCCAGCAGCTTACAAAGGCCCAAAGTCACAGTTTGCTCCAGATTCTGGGGGAGAACTTGGAGCAACCAGACTGGGTTCAAGAGCATTGGCCCACATTAAATTGGAGCCATTCCATTTTTGTTTAGCTGCCACAGAGCTGATTCACCAATCCTTTGGGATAAGCGGTCAGTGTAAAAGTACCCCTGGTTTCCCAGAATCCTAGGGTAAACCTCAAACCACTACACCATGCTGCTCTCAACTGTAGAGGTTCAGAAGCTGTACCTTGTTTTCCAGCTGACTAACATCACCATTTAGATGGAGGCAATGAGGCAGAAAAGGGATTTTCAGAACACACAAACTCATCATGCATGCTTTCACCTATTTGACATGTAGGAGCCCTATGCATTAGCTACCCTAAAGGTTTTCTTTAGCTACAATCATAAACATAAGACAAGGGAAGCTGTTTCAAGAATGTTAACTGGGAGAAAGCTGTGTAAAACAGAACCACCCAACTCAGTGAAACCGTATCTGCATTGTAAGATAAAATCTGGTTCGAATTCTTTTTAGCGGACAGCTGTCCTTTCATCCACCTTTGGCACCCATTTGTTTCACTTCTAACACAAATATCACTGGTACATTTTGGAAGTTTTTATAAGTTTGATGTTCTTCAGACTGGAGAGAAGTGACCAGTGGGGTGCCAAAGGGTTCTGTCATGGGCCTAGTGCTATTCAAATTCTTGGACTTGGATGATGGAATTTGAAGGTGACACCTAATTGCGAAGGATAGCTAATACTCCAGATTAAGACAGTATCAGAATCCAAAACGACCTTATAACAGATTAGAGAGCTGGACCAAAACAAATAAGATGAATTTCAACAGGGAAAAAAATATGGTATGACATTTCAGCAAGAAAAATGAAGTGGTTGTGGAACACTTAACTTGAAAACAGTCCCTCTGAAAGGGATCTAGGAGCCTTGGTAGACCGTAAGCAGATCATGAGTCAAGAGTGTGACATCGCAACTAAAAAAGCCAATGCCATTCTACGCTTCATCACTAGAAGTATAGATCAAGAACAAGGGAAATCATAGTCCCACTCTATTCCGCTTTGGTCACTTAAAATAATACTGTGTCCAGTCTGGGCAAAGCAATTCGGGAAGGATATTGGCAAGCTGGAAAGTGTCCAGAGAAGGGCAATCAAAAGGATCAAAGTTATGGAAGCCAAGTCCTATGAGGAAATTGCTGAGGGAGCTGAATATCTTTAGATTGTAGAAAAGAAGGCTGAGAGGGGACATGCCATGTTTAAATATTTGAAAGAATGCCACATTGAACATGAGGAAAGTTTGTTTCCTGCTGCTCTGGAGACTAGGAAACAGAGCAATGGATTCAAATTATGGGAAAGGAGATTCCACCTAAACATTAGGAAAAACTTCCTGGTGGTAAGAGCTGTTTGGCAGTGGAGTATGATGCCTTGGAGTGGTGGAATCTCCTCCTCTGGTGGTTTTTAAGCAGAGGCTAGATGGCCATCTGTTGGGGATGCTTCGATTACGGTTTTCCTGCATGGCAGGGTGTTGGACTGGATGGCCCTTGTGGTCTCTTCCAACACTATGATTCTATAATATCCAGGGCTTCTGAAGGAGAATTTGGTTTTAATAATGAACACACACGCTGTGCAAAACATGCCGGTTTCTAACCACTAGATGTCAGTGTTAGATATTGAGGATGATTTTGGTTACGAAATTGGAAAATCCTCAGCTTTTTTGGAAAGCCTTCCATGGGAAATTTTAATACTGTGTGCATTTCTGAAAAATAACATATTCGCTACCACCACTTGCATTTAGAAGTGTTACAAGTGACTGTAGACCAAGTAAAAATATTAAGAAATTGTGATTTACAAAAGAGGAAGACAATGTAATACCTTCAACTGTTTTACTTCCCTGTCTTTCTACCGAATCCACTTTCCAAACAGATTTGTGGACCTCCTCATACTTTATGATCTATAAACTTAAAAACATTTATTTCTAGCATTTCTACCCCATCCTTCTCAACTCCCGAAGAGGGACTCAGATCGGCTTACACTTGGCAACAATTTGATGCTGTTACATATAACAAACATAATAAAACAACAAATCATGACTGCCTTGATGCATCCATGGAATCATGAAAGTTGGCAGCGAAAGTATTTTGATGTTTCTGCCAAGGATTGCTGGTGCCTCACCAAATTACAGATCCCAGAATTCCACAGTCTTGAGCCACGGCAATTAAAATGGTGTCAAACTGCATTAAGACTCAAACAAGGAAGACACAGACCCGAGTTTTGCAAAATCTCAGAAAAGTGATAAGCAAGGTGTCTTAGAGGAGGTCTCTCATTCATAGGACCACCGGAAATAGATACTGACTTGACAGCCCTTCATAATAACTTGGACTTGGAGGACATCATTTGACGTCATGTTTAGAACTTTGTACAACAACTCACCATTTTAAAGAGAGAAAAAAATACTGAGTGCTTACATTGTAGCCGTAGCGAGGGATGCTGAGATATTGCAGCCACATCAACCAAGGTGAAATGGTTAGAAGATTTACCAGCAAGCCAGAGAAAACCTGCAAACAAAGAAAGGTTTGGAGTGATACAGAATAAAACTCTGTTCTCTCTTGAATTTCTTCTCATCACCACATTGCTGGAGCCCCCAGTAGCGCAATGGGTCAAACCCTTGTGCCAGCAGGACTGCTGACCAAGAGGTCAGCGGTTCAAATTCAGGAAGCTTGGGTTGTGCTCCCTCTGTCAGTTTCAGCTCCCCATGCAGGGACATGAGAGAAGCCTCCCACAGGGATGGTAAAACATCAAACATCTGTGCATCCCCTGGGCGATGTCCTTGCAGATGGCCAATTCTCTCACACCAGAAGCAACTTGCCGTTTTCCAAGTTGTTCCTGACATGAAAGAATTTACTTTATTTATTTTCCTTCCTCTGCAGAAACATTCTTGTAGTGCAAAAGATTTTGGAGTGCCTTATATCTGAATGTGCAATTAAGATCCAATAGCTTTACAAAAGTCCGACATCTGACCGTAATGAAAGCTGTAATTCTAAATAAAGGTGCATCTACACTGGCACAACCTGGGGATCACAACCAGATACAGTGAAGACATCTGCCCTTGTGCTTTGCTACTCTGCTGCTGAGTATGGATGGCCACTGTGGAACAGATCTCACCACACTAAAACTGGATATGGCTCTTAATGAGACATGCTACATTGCCACGGGGTATCTGCGCCCTACACCACTGGAGAAATTACACTGTTTAGCCGATATTGCACCACCTGACATCTGCCGGGAAGTAGCAGCCAATAATGAAAGGACCAAGGCAGTGACATCTCCAGCCCATCCCCTATTCGGATATCAACCAACATGCCAATGCCTAAATAATTTTCTATGATCTACAGAGACACTCGCTGGAACACCTCAGCAAATGAGAGTCCAAAAGTGGGAAGTTAAAACCCAGAACCTCAATCAATGGCTGATACCAAATGAGGGATTCCCTCTGGGCACAAAGAAAACTGAGCGACTTGGAAGGAGTTTTTTTGTTTGTTTGTTTTTTAAATAATATAGTGCAACTGTTTGTTTCACTCCTGATATGATAAATAAATAAATACTGCAGAATTAATGTAGTCTGTTAAACTACGACTCCCAACATTACATAGCACTTAACCATTGCAGTTAAAGTGGTGTCAGACTGCATTAATTCTACAATGCAGATGCACCCTTAGCCTACATTAAGCAGATGGATAAACTTTCTCTTTATCCATGTATTATTTTTATGCATATCCAACCCTTCTTGGGAAAGGTGCAAAAGGACTCACAACCAGCACACAAAACAAATTACAACACACAAATTCTTAAAAATAGGATCACAGATGCATAACAAAATACAATGAAAATTATAGGAGCAGTTACTTCCTTTTTAAAAAAAAGATAATGTTCAAAATATTCAAATAATGTCATCACAACTCACAATCATAAACATGAAGCAAATGTTTATGAGGAGATTTGCAACCGATGTAACGCTTTGTCCTGTTGCTACTGCGAGGGCCAGAGAACTGGCTGCATAGGCTACTAGTATAAGTGTGGCCATCATGATAAAGAAGGACTCTACCTTTGGCTTGAAACCTAAAAAGATAAAATTAACATTAACATTTAAATGAAATGCATATATTCAGGATGAACATTTCTGCATAGGAGAATATTTACATAATAACTGTGTGGTTCTGCATACGTCTACTGATAATTTAATACCACGGCATTTGATGAGGGTTTCCAGGTTAAACATCATCATTTGCTTTGGGCAGTTTACTGCAAACGCTGCAAGGCTCATCATTTTTGTGGCTCTGGAAATATAAGGCATATATTTCCAACACAATGCCTTCCTGGTGTGCTGGACTACAATTCCCATTATTGCCAGACAATACGGAAGGCATCGGGAGATTGAAGAACATGCCTTGTTTTTGTTATTGAAAAGAACAATTGCATAGCCCCTGGGCCAAGATGGAAATTGTAGTTTCACAGATTTGGAAGTCACTATGTGTTGCACTCCAAGGCTGGGAACCACCTCTGTTCTTGAGTTCGGAGTAGAGCAACTGCTCTGGGAGACGGTGGTCGGGCATCCGGACAATGTGGCTGGTTCAGTGGAGTTGATGGTGGAGGACCATCGCTTCAGTGCTGGTGGTCTTTGCTTCTTCCAGCACACTGACGTTTGTCCACCTGCCTTCCCAAGAGATTTGCGGGATTTTTCAGAGGCAGTGCAGGAATGTAAAAGCAGGTGATGTCCAAATATTCAACACAAGAACAGTCCACAGGAACATGACACATGAAACATTTAATCAGGAAGCGTGAACACGAAGCAACATGGAACTAAAAATCCCTTGGAAGACTTGACTTGGCTCCAAAATCAACGTTGTCTGGACTGAGAGAATACTCTGCTGGCCTTTTTAATATAGACAGAAAGCCAGGCCATTGTCCTTCCAAGACTGATAAGGGCTTCTTCATTAATAGACAAGCTGACCTTCACTGTGCTTCACGAGATACCCTATGGTGATGGAACATTAAACTTCTATCTAACCATTGCTCATTAGCTCTTCCACCTGGAGTTGTCTCTTCCTCCCTTGCATATTCCTACCCTGAGCTCATTTCTGCCTCTGACCTTGCATCTCTGCCTTTCTGGAATGTGGAACAGAGAGCTCTCATTTTCAGGGCTTAAAATATCCTGATTCTCTTGTTCATCTGCAGGTCCAGAATCCCCACTGTCAACATCAGGCTGCCTAAGAGGCCCAGAATCCCAAGTGAGATCAGGTACAGGCACAATCAAAGGCTGGACTACAACACTATGTTGGCAACCGGCAAACAGCAGCAACCTCATCAGACGCAAGTTCTCTTCCATTTCCACACACTTCTAAGACATTTCAGGGACGAGGTGCACAAGTAAATTCTTCCTCTTCTTTAAAGACAGAACCCCATAAAATGTCACACAAAGAAGACAATTTCCCTTACTTCCCCAAGTTTTCCCCAGCTCCATCTGATGAAGTCCTCAGTGGGTTTCCATGGTTGAGTAGAGATTCAAACTCCAGAGTCACAGGCCAATGCTGAGACCACATCATTGACTCTGTTGTGTTTCTTTTTGAATCTATGGTCTAGAATTTACAGCAAAAAATTACTTTGGAGGCTAAAAAGGGAATTAAAAAGTAACCTTAATGTCCTTATATCGAAGAGGAAATATTATTTCCCTTTGAGTGTGTACTCACCTATTGTGAAGTAATTTAAGCTGGTGATGATAATGCCTGGCAAAGTCCTCATGGGCATCATGTCAGCTATGATCTTTGAGAAGAAATACGCAGACACTCTATAGTAGCCACCGATATATTCATGCCTGCAACATCACAGAGGTAAATCATCATTCAATCTTTTGAATAAGTGCTTTTAAATCAGTGATAAATAAAATGGGAGAAAATGTGGAAATGGGGCATGAGGGAGGGCATTTGTGGCTGCATTGTGCTAAACTCTCCTTATCGTCTCACTACTCAAGTGTCTTTCTTTTCCAAACTACATAGTTACTTACATAAATAGCCTTTTCTCTGTGATAAAAAGTTCAACAGTTGTAATACTATTCAAACACTGACTGGTCGTCATGAAGAAGAAAGCACCGACTCTAGAAAAAAAGAATACCCACAAAAATGTTGAAGTTCAAAAAAGAAACAAAAAAACGGGGCACAAACATTTAAAGGGACTGTATCTGGTAACATCACATTGAAAGGAGGCAAGGTTTTAGAGAGTTTCAAATTAGGATTGGAAGTTTCAGGTTGGAGAAAGCTGAACTAGAACATGGATGCTAGGAGTGGCAATATCAAGTGAGGCATTTATAAGGTTTAATTTACAACTTCCAGAAACCCCAACCAACACATGGCCAAGGATTGTAGGAGCTGTACTCCAAAGCATTTGAAGAGTCAAAGGCTTCCCAGTTTTGAACAAGATGATACAAGGGCTCCTTCCAGGTTCTACTGATGAGGATGTCCATATGCAGCTCCCACATTCAGAAGGACGTCAATACTGGGCTCAGCTTTACACATGGACTTCTCAAGGTGCTTCTACACCAGGCATGGGCAAACTTCGGCCCTCCAGATGTTTTGGACTTCAACTCCCAGAAATCCTAGCCAACTTAACAGCTATCAGGAATTGTTGAAGTCCAAAACACCTGGAGGGCCCAAGTTTGCCCATGCCTGATCTACACTATAGAATTAATGCCATTTCCCACCACTTTAACTGCCATGGCTCAATGCTATGGAATCATGGGAGTTGTGATTTTACAAAGTCTTCTCACCAAACTACAGTTACGAGATTCTATAGCATTGAGCCATGGAAATTAAAATTGTTGGGAATCAGAGCTGTTAGGCTCAAAATAACCCTCCCTTGGGGTGATTCCACCAAAAATATAGAAGAGTGCCAGAAGTACACTTCATAACCAGCAGAAACGTATGTGTTGCAAATCAGCATTAGCTTCAATTCAACAGGATGGCACAAGATTGCAGTCACAAGTTTAGGTTCTATATATATTTATTGAAGTAAAAAAGAAATCCATTCTAGATAGAAAGGGATCTTGGAGCTAACTAGCTTACTAAGCTATCTTCTAAGGAAGGTACAAGGATAAAATATCAAAAGTATACATGCAGCTACATTTTGTCTGGAGAATGACAAAATGTGTCCTAACTGGAAGGAAGACAAAGGCAGAAGAGAGGAGGGCCAAAATGGAGAATGACCACATGGCCAAACTCAGGACAATAAAAATACCTTTAAAGAGGAAGTGACCCCATCCCTCACAGAGATTTCATTGCTACATCTTCAAAGGGGAAGGAGATAGTGGCAAACAGAGAAGAATAAAGACAGAACCCCTTCTGGGATAAGCATGCATAGGAATGTGGAGGGAGGAATCCCTCACTCTAATCCTATCTAGTCTACTCATTGAGGACCAGAGACTTGTGCAGTCCAGGGATGAAATCCAACAATCATTGTGTCAAACTGCATTGATTCTACAGTGCAAATGCACCCTCAGTGGTAAGGAGCTACATGTAATGTCTATTTACTTATGCCTTAGTGCTGTCTCACATAGCTTTATCACACTAAACTGTTAAGAGTGGAATATTGTGCTATAACAATGCAGTGAGATAAGGATGTCAGTAAAACTTCTAAGGCATCTTAAAACCGAGAAGTCAGACCCAAAATATAATGGTAAAATTATGTATATTGCAGTTGGTTCAATGATAGAGGAGTCCAGAAAAAGTCAATGTGCCAGATAAAATAAACCCAAAATCAGTAAGTCAGCCCTGTCAAGCTAGTACAGTCCTCATTACTGCTCAGTACATAACCAGTGAAGGGAGTTATCATTCCACACAGCTGCAAGGCACTATGTTAGTAAACGCTGAACTAGGTGTTTAAAACCTTGACAAATATGTCAAAGGAAATTCTAAAGACGTCTCATCATAAACAACTGGAAATTATTCCCTTTGTTCCAAAAGACTGGAAAAAACAGGATTGTTTTTCTGAATCAAACCAATGCATCGGAAAAAATACCCTCTTTAAGTCTCACGCTGGACTATAAAGCATGCTAATCTTTCCCCAAAAATCTTTTTTGCAGACACTAAAGCAACTAAGAGAAAATTAACTTTTACAATGCATTCCTAATATTTACTGACCTATTTTGAATGCCAGCCATATCATTTTTAACTCCAGCATAAACGGCTCCAAAAATTATTGCCATACCAGTGATAATAGCCAGCTAGGAAGGAAGGGATAAAATACTTCAGGTTACAAAGACATGCCATGTTGAGCAATGGGAGGGGGAGGTTAGGAAATTAAATGTTATAGCTGCAGATTAAATATTATAATTCTAGTTTATTGTGTTCTTTCTCAGGAAACCAAAATGATAGACCAAAATTATCACACCTGCCCTTGCCTGCAATGGAAGTGAATACTCGTCATGGGACTGTTAGCCCTAACATGCTGGACTTCTCAAGCATTAATGACAGGGACCAGACTGGGATGAAGAGAAAAACACCAAGGTTGGTCCTCAAGCAATTGTTGGCATTCAAAACCACAAGAGTAACAACTTTCAAACTGGTTAGGTTTAAAAGAGAAAACATTTCACCTTAGCACCTGAAAGGTAAATTGCAGAAAGTAAGGGTTTCCAAAGGGGTCATTGGAGTGGGACCCTGTATCTTTAATGGTTATGTAGAAATAGGAATTTCAGCAACTAATGCACAAGCCACACCTGCTGAAATTCCTACTTCCAGCCATTGAAAGTACAGGAGCTCTCTCTTGTTTTGATGTGGCAAAATTGCTTAATGATTGCTTGATTTCAGAACACAACAGGTATTTTGAAGGCATGAAAACAAAGGAATGCAACTGCTAGACCTATTTCACACAAAAAACATAAGGCAGGTTAAGCATCCTTTATCTGGAATTCCAAAACTGTCTGCATAGGTGACACCTTTGTGCTTTGATGGTTATATGGATAAACACTTTGTTTATCCATATATGGAGAGGAAGTGGATTAGACACTGAGAGATCACTACCAGACCCGGTTGAGTACCATTTAGTACCTGGACTCAACCTAGTTTATGCTAGCCCAGTTACCATCACTGGCTACACAACCAACCTGCACAACTTGGTGAACTATCATTCATTTCTATAAATCAAGGTGAATATTTTTTTTTTGTTTTATGCCATTATACAATTTTTGTTTGATTATGTTGGGTTTTTGTTTTTTTTGTCGTGTCAGGAGCGACTTGAGAAACTGCAAGTTGCTTCTGGTGTGAGAGAATTGGCCGTCTGCAAGACGTTGCCCAGGGGACACCCGGATGATTTGATGTTTTTATCATCCTTGTGGGAGGCTTCTCTCATGTCCCTGCATGAGGAGCTGGAGCTGATAGAGGGAGCTCATCCGCCTCTCCCCGGATTTGAACCTGCGACCTGTCGGTCTTCAGTCCTGCCGGCACAGGGGTTTAACCCACAATACCACCGGGGGCTCCATTATGTTGGGTTTAATTTATTGATGTTAGGCTCTTATGTTGTTTTGATATGTGGGGTTCCTCTGGGATTATTATGTTGATATTTGTCTGTTTGTGGAGGCATTGACATCCCCTGGTGATGCAGCAGGTTAAACTGCTGAGCTGCTGAACTTGCTGATCGAAAGGTTGGCGATTCAAATCACAGGAGTGGGGTGAGCTCCTGCTGTTGGGTCCAGCTTCTGCCAACCTAGCAGCTCAAAAACATGCAAATGTGAATAGATCAATAGGTACCGCTTTGGTGGAAAGGTAATGACGCTCCATGCAGTCATGCCGGCGACATGACCTAAGAAGTGTCTATGGACAACGCCAGCCCTTTGGCTTAGAAATGAAGATGAGCACCACCCCCCAGAGTCAGACATGACTAGACTTATTAATGTCAGGGAAAACCTTTGCCTTTGCCTTTACTATAGAGGCATTGAATATTTGCCATTGTATGTTGGAATCCACCCTGAGTCTCCTTGGGGAGATAGGGTGGAATATAAATAAAGTATTTTATTTTATTTTTCATGCACAAAGTTATTAAAAAATGACCTTCCTGCTATGTGTTCATGAAATACAAATGACTTGTGTGTTTCGACATGTGTCTCTGATATTTGATACATGTATATGCAAATACATGTTTTTCAAAAAATCCTAAATCCTAAACATTTCTCATCCCAAACATTTTGGCTAAGAGATACTCAACCTGTACTTACACAGGAGTACTTCTCTGAATGTCTGCTTACAGATAATTATGTGCATTTTTACACTGAAACCAGTCCCACTGAGTTCGAAGGGGACTGACCACTCCTAGATGAATGTGCAGAACAAGTGACAATGATGAAACCTATTGAAAACTGAGCACAATGCTTGCTGAAGGAGCAAAAAGTGAAGAAAATCTCTGCCCACATAATGGTAACAGGCTGTTCAGGAGTGTTTAGGCAGGAGGGATTGCTTGACCCGTTAACGCTCCAAAGCACATTTGATCCGTGGTACCGTAGTGCTAAGGACTGGCTGAAAGGACAAAATGTCAAGGATAATTCGACTGCTAAGCCAGTTGAAGTGGGAAACAAAGATCATATCAAGACCAATTTAAGAAGATTATTGAAAACAAGGTCAGGGGGAGGCCTTAAGGAAACGTGGGGATTTTTCAAGAATGCACCCAAAATCCATCCGTAATGAGGTTAGGGAGATTGAAACGATTGTGAGAAAAAAGTCATGTCCATTAACCCTGGAAGATTATAAATGCTTAAAATTCATAATTCTTGTCACAAGGTCAAGCTTTTACAAAGCAATTAATAGAGATCCTCATAATATCAACACACATGGAAAGCTTTTAAACTTCACAGGCTCTGAATAGATGATTAGCCATCACTATGGGGATTTTTTGAAAGTTATTATTACTTCCAAAATTCCTTGAAAAATCTTGCTGGAAGCAAAGCTCACATAAAATGCTGAGATTAGAAATACTGAAAGCTCTGCAAGGAGAATGCCTGCTGTCTGGGTCCTAAGACATCCCGAATAGACTACTGCAATGTGCTCTACATGGAGTTGCCTTTAAAGACCGTTGGAAGCTTCAAATAGTCCAACGGGCAGCAGCCAGATTGCTCACTGGAGAGGAGTACAGGGAGCATACAACCCCCTCTGTTACGTCAGCTCCACTGGCTGCCAGTTTGCTACCGAGCACAATTCAAAGTGCTGGCTTTAGCCTATAAAGACCTAAATGGTCCCGGCCCAGCTTACCTGTCTGAACGCATCTACCCCTATGAACCACCTCAGAGATTAAGATCCTGCTCTTGTTCCCACTTGCTTCCAGACACAATTGGTGGGGACGAGAGGCAGGGCCTTCTCAGTGGTGGTCCTTTGGCTCTGGAATTCCCTCCCCAGTGACATTAGATCAGCCCCCTCCCTCTTGGTCTTCAGAAAGAGAGTGAAAACATGGCTTTGGGATCAAGCCTTTGTAGAAGTGCAATAGAAGGATATGGAATATGTACAATGACTATTGGATTATGATTGGTTTTTAATAAGGGTTGCAATGTTTTTAACCATTTTAATGCATTTTAATTTTAATCTTAATTTAAATATTTGTTTTAATTTTATCTTTTTAAGGCATTGAATAGTTGCCTATGTGGAAAACTGCCTTGAGTTCCTGACAGGGTTGAGAAGGGTGGGGTATAAATATGGCAAATAAATAAATAAGATTTGTTGCTTGAGGCAAGGAACAGAGTGATGGTCCCTTCCATATTCAGAAGGTGTCTGGTCTGTTATTTGAATATTGTTGATGGAATAGCAACCTCATCATAAATGGTAGGTGATCATGTTCATGCTCTGGTCACTCTCTGGAATAGGGAGAAGACTAGGGCAATAGACATGATTGCTCCAGAACATCCCACCTCGAGTAGCAGAGCTAAACCATCTCCTTGGTTCAATGAGGAGCTGGCAGTGATGTAGTGAATGCAGAGGAAACTAGGGTGCATGTGGTATTCACAGCATAACGTGAATTGCGTCATGGAGGAGGGAGGGTGTTCCGTTGGTCGGGGAGCCCCCATAGAAGTCGTGGTGGGGAGG